ACTTTGTTAGCACAGGAAAAAACTACAGCTCTACCCAACAGTATGGGCTATATAATGTAGTTAAAATTGTAGTTCAGGTTTCTGTAGTGTTCATTAAGTTATATTTAGGATTTTAAAGATGTTTTTAATCAGTGGAAACAACAAAACCTTCTAGTTCTTCACATTTTTGTCAGCATTTTCCAGCATTAATTTACAAAACATGAATTCATACTAATGTAATTAACAATCAAACAGGTAAGCAGCAGTAAATGGATGGATTGATTGATCAGTTAAAAAATAACATGTTTATTTAAGGTCTAAACTGGAGATCTACCAAAAATCACACACAGAAACATTTTCTAAGTGACTTTACTGCCAGTGTCAGGTGAGAAGGAATATTTAAGACCTTTAAAAATGAAACTGAAGACTTTTAAATAACTTCTCAGGCCATTTTCCTTTTTAGGAAACTGAAATAATTGCTCTTTAATATCTGCATATATCCTGTAGCTGCATCTTACTGAAAATTAAAGTAGGGTTATTTTTGTTATAAAATTCTGTTAAGTAAGTTGAATGGCTGACTTTGGAGTATTATTACATCATGGCAGTACTACCTTATATTGCCTTTTCTTTTTACAGTGTAGAAGGAGAGAGAGCTGGAGAAGGGAGGGAGAAGGAGGGAGGGTAAAAAAAAAGGAGGAGGAGGAGGAGGAGGAGGAGGAGGATGGTCCTGCTGTCAAACAGAGATGAAAATACAGCAGCAGGTTTCAGGAGGGCAGCGCCGTTAGATAATCGCATTTATTCTCTCCTCGGCAGCGGCGGGGACCAATGGACGCGGAGCGACGCGCCGAGGGGGAAGAAATCAGAGTAATTTAATTCCCTCCAACTCAACGGAGCTGCCGGAGAGGCGACGTCCGCTGCGGCCGCAGGTGATGCTGCACAGACACACACCGACCCTGCAAACTTCAGAGAGGATTTACAAACTGTATTGACACTGTGCCTGCTGCTGACAGCCGAGCCCCCTGCCTCAGCTGATGTTCACATCAATGATAAGATCAATTATGCGGACGGTTCGGCTCGAGTCTTAATTAGTGATGAGCATCTTCATTATAGCAACAGCTGAGAAAATGCACAGGACAAATAACAGAGACGTGGAAGAGCAGAATACCTGCGCCCTGTGAGGTGAGTGAATAAAAAATACAGTGTCATTTTCTCGAACTAGAACTTTTACTTCAGTTTTATTTCATATCAAAAACAACATTGTGGTCTGTGGGGTTGAACTAAACTCTCGAGCAACTTTAACTACATTTTCTTCTTTTTATTTTGCTTCATGTATCCAGGTAAAAGTCTTACTCAGATTAAAATTTAAAAAGGGAGAAACACACTGTTACAGCAATAAACACAAGCACACTACACAACAGTATACACCACATTCAGTTCAGATCAATTTGATGATTTACATGCAGCTCTAACATTGAGCATCTGGAAAATGCACTATGTTTAACATATTTAATATTAATGCTTAAAAGTTGGTTTCAGGGACAGAAAGACATTTGCAAACACTGTATGTGTGATATATTTGTAATATTTTTGATAGTCCATTCATTTGGAAACTTAATCTGTGTAATGGAACAACCACAAAATCATTGTGAATGTTTTAGTGTTGATTTATTTTTGCTTTGTGGTGGAAGAAGTGTTGAGATCTTCCACTTGAAAGTTAAAAATACAAGTACAAATCCTGCATTCATGATTTAAAGAAGCTAATTAAAGGATCAAAAGTAAAATCATCAATTAATTGTTTTAGTAATTTTTTAAGTAAAAATTCGAAATATTTGCTGGTTGAAGCTTCTGAAATGTGAGTTTTTGATACTTTGTCATGTCTGAGCACAAACTGAATATTTGTGGGTTTTGGCTTTTTGGTTGAATGAAATGAGAAATTTGAAGACAACACATTCCACTGTGTTCTGACATTTTATAGAGAAAACAATTAATCGAGAGAGCAGGTTAATGAAATCAATAGTTAGTTGCAGCCTGTCCATGGTGTAGCTGGTTGAGAGGGAGTTCATTTGAACTACTTTACACTTTTGTAAAACCTTTATCTGCAACGTATCAAGAATCTGTAGTAAATATTCAAGTAAAGTAGGCCTACCTCAAAATTATATTTAAGTACAGCTGGAAGTACAATTCACTTCCACCAATAAGCAGTCAGAATCTCACCAGGAAGCGTTCAAGGATCCACCTGCTGGAGAAACATGAGAGAACAACGTTCTTAAAAATTATTCGTCAAAATGACATTTTCAAATTTAAATTACAATAAAATGTTAATCAGTAAATCAATGATCAGTGTAGTGTTTCAGGAGGAGGGAGTGAACCAGGCTCACAGACTGATTCTTGCTGTGAAATGTAACTTGGCTTTTTCTGTATTTACAGAAATTATGATTAAAGTTACAGTTTATATTCAGTAGTGTGCTCGTCTTGTATTTCATACCATAAGTTTCTTTAAAAGGTAAATAACTAGAAGTAACAGGGTCATGAATGTGTGTATGAATCAATTTAGCTGAAGATTAAGTTGTAGAAAAGTTGTTTCATCTGTTTCAGCCGTGTAGATTGTTTTGGTTTTCTTTGTCTTATTCATTTGTTTTCAGAAATCCATCTCTGAGATTTCAGCCTCCAATTCAGTGGAGGTGAATTTCAATTTATTTTGTGGAACTCACAGCATTGATAAATAACATTTGAAAAACAGCACAATCTTATTCTAAATAAATGAGTAGAGTCTAGGCTTTCATTCGTGGCCTCCACGTAGAGGAGCTGGAAACTTTGAGTGGGTGTTTTAAACTTTAGATTGATGATCCAAGCTCACTCAGGTTACAGGTTTGTACAGGCTGGGGCTTGATGTCGGTTTAAAGCCACGTTTCTTTTTTGAAACCTCCAGGATTAACTGGATCGTAATGAATGTAACTGTAATGCTGATTCTGGAAGGAGTTATTGCTGTTGATTTAAAACTGGTGTTTGGACGTGGGGTTGAAAATAAACTCTCCACTGGACTAAAGCTGTAGTTGAAAGAGGTTTTTTAGGTCTGTTGGCTGGTGGTTCTGAGACATTTTAACCTCTCTGGGTCGTCCACACCGTGATGTCTCACCAGAGCCGATGAGATTTTAAGGTCTCACAGCAGTGGTGTGAGAGTTGTCACATGAATCCAGGCGTGAATTGGTGTGAAGAGTCAGGAGTGTCAGGTCTAAAAGTGGAGGGCCAAGATGTTTTCTTTATTTCAGTGAAGGTGTGCGCATATGAAAGCATGCAGCATAACACAATTAATGTACACGAATGGATCTAATCTGGTTGTATAATTATATGCCTAGTCAATTAATCAATTAGCCGTTCAATAGAAAACTACAGATGCAGTAAATAAATAAATACTAATAACACAGCTGGATTTGCCCCATAGACTGCCATTATAAAACAGAGATCTGTGAAGCTTCCTGCAAATTACAAACAAGGAAATGTGTTGCTCTTTGTGTTATGAATTCTAAATCACAAAATCTTAATATTAATAAAACTTTTCCAAAACCTAAAAAGATATTTTTTATGTTAGCATGTACCACACAACATGGAAACAAACCAGAAAGAAAGAGGTCTAGTATCCGATTCTTAAAATACAAGAACACAGAATATTTGTGGCGTGCATTGCTGTTTTTTTTTTTGCTATTGCCACTTGGGGGCGCCAGAGTCTGACATTTTCAAACTCAGTACAAAACGGCTTTAAAAGGTTTGATGATCTTAATGAAACACAGTTAGAACCACATTATTAATTAGAACATGCTCTTCTTTTGATATACAGTCACATCAGAAAGTAGACCCCTTCCCTTTTTGCATTGTATTTTTGCAAACTGTGGTCAGGTGTCTCCTGCTCACTTTAATTATCCTTGAGATGTGTCTAGAAACTGATTCACCTGTGGCAAATTGAATTGATTGCACATATTTTAACGGCACACACCTGCGTATATAAAGGTCCCTCAATTCACACAGTATGTCAGGACAAAAACCAAACCATGAAGTCTGAGGAACTCTCGGAAGACCTCTGTGATAAAAGTGTGGTGAGGGCAAAGGTGTAAAAAACATTTCTGATGCTCCAGGTGTTCCCAGGAGCACAGTGGCCTCAATAATTGTGAAAAGGAAGAAGTCTGGAACCACCAGGACTGTTCCTAGGGTTGATCGTCAGAATGATTGCGTAACCGGGCGAGAAAGGGCTTGGTCAGGGAGGTAACCAAGCGCCCAACGGTCTAACAGAGACCATCTCAGCTGCTCTCCATCAATCAGACCTTTATGGTTGAGAGACTAGACAGAAGCCACTTTGAGTAAAAGTCACATGACAGCCAGCTGGAGTTTGTCCAACAGCATTTAAAGGACTCTAAGAGCATGAGGATAAAAATTCTCTGGTCTGATCAGACTAAAATTGAACCGTTTGGGCAGAACTCCCAAAAAAATAAAATCACCAGGCTATCACCATCCCTACAATGAAGCAGTTTTTTAAGGAAAACTTCCAACCAATAACGACTTCTGTGTTTTCCTGATTTAGTCTGAGGAAATTTTGGATAAACTGATGGTAGACATGCAGTCATGGAAGTAAAGGGGGATCACGGTGTCAGAAAATAACTGTGCTTTGAGAATTAAGGTATATTAACAAATCCTAGGTTATAATGTCCGTGAGTTGTAGTCTCAGGGCAACAGGATCAACAGTTATATAGAGTTAGGTGTCATCTGCATAGCGATGAAATGAAATGAGTCGATGTAAATCAATGCTTACGGATGGGGATTGAAATGTTGGTTTCTGATGATCTGAGACAACAAATATTTGAATTTATAAAAAGTAAAATTTTCAACGGACTTGATATTCAAATGATTGTTTTGTTTTTGTGATTTTTTCATTACAGTTGTTCAGCTTCTCTGAAGATCCTCTGTCATAAACTCCTGTCAGCTGGACATACAAATACCTCCTCTGCCCCATCACACATCCTGCAGCCAGCATGCCCATCATCAGCAATGCCAACCACGACTTCAGCACCTACTCCATCAGCAGTGACGACAGCAGCCTCGACCGCTTCTTCACTGAGATCCCGGAGACTGAGACCATCAAGGGTGTTTACTTCCAGCGAGCGCAGCTGCTTCGTGACCCCAAGGCCTCGTATGTGGTCGACCACACCCTGCAGGTTCTCATTAATGTCGGGGGCAACCGCTACACCTTCCCCTGGAGCACCTTGGAGCAGTTTCCCCAGAGTCGACTGGGACGCCTTCGTTTCTGCACCACCCCTGAGGAGATTGCGCGACTCTGCGATGACTACGACGAGACGTGCCAGGAGTACTTCTTTGACCGAAACCCGACGGCCTTCAGAGTCATCCTCAACTTCCTGGCCGCAGGCAAACTGCGTCTCCTTCGGGAACTGTGTGCCGTGTCACTGCACGATGAGCTCGACTACTGGGGCGTGGACCCAGGTCATATGGAGCGTTGTTGCCGTCGCCGCATGATCACACGCGTAGAAGAGGTGGCGGAAAGAGAGCGTAAGGAAGAGGAGTGGAGGCAGAAGAGGGTGATGCTGAAGAAAACCCCCCCAGAGGCCGAGCAGGGCTACCGCCGGCTGTTCTGGATGCTGAGAGAAGTGGTGGAAAACCCTCACTCGGGACTGGCTGGGAAGTTGTTCGCTTGCCTCTCTGTCATCATGGTGTTGGTCACTGTCATCAGTCTGTGCATCAGCACCATGCCGGATCTCAGAGATGAAGAGACCAGGGTGAGTGTGAAGCCGATGAATCACTGAAAGCTACACTGTCCTCTTGAGAGATTCAGAGATGTTTTGTGGTCGATATTCTGGGGAAACACTGGACACAAACACGGAAATGAAAACACAGACAATGACTGAATGAGGATTAATGACAAAGATTATTATTGATCAATAAGGGGACAAGACTCAAAGTTGGCAAGTATAATCATTTCCTGTCCCACCAGCACAGAGTCACTAATCCTCTTATAGAACAAAGTACAAGAACAAGGGACAAAGATGTGAAGACAGATTTGTCGAGATACATATCAGCTATGTTTACAACAATAGCAAAAAACCATGAGACATACATTTACATATCTACTACTTACATATATGTCCTTAATCACAAGACACCTAAAGTCACCTAAAAACTCAACCCACATGCAACCCCTTGACCTTTCAGATGACCTCTATGACCAATTACAGGACGAGGGGAATAGCGGGCCTTTTCAACGCATTTACTGCTGATGATGCAATCAGTGTCGCATCACCTCCACATGTTGGTATTAAAATGATAAACCCACCATTTAATCTTCTCTTACTTTCACAGTTTGACATTTGCAGCCTTTTCTGAATGTGAAAGTTTGGATGTGGTGCAAAGTGCAAGTACTGTACTCAAGTACAATTTTTTAGGCACTTGTACTTTACATATTTCAAATTCATGGTACTTTATACTTTGACTCCACTATATTTATCTTACATCTATAGTTACTTTGATTTTAAATCGACAAGCCATCATCTTATAAAATGTCATGCGTTATTACAGATTGAGGGCCCTGCAGAAAGGAGTAAAAGGAGTACTCTTACTTTGAATTATTTAAGTACATTTTGCTGTACAATTTAGAGTGCAAGACTTTTACTTGTAACAGAATAATTTCTTTATTCACTCTAATCACTATCTACTGAAGAAGTTGTTGAACACAGCGGGGCTGGTGAGGAAATTGGAGCTGTTAGCAGCTAAAGAGACAGATATTTTCCTCAGGAGTCGGTGTAGTCCTAAAGCTAGAAAGCTTTGGCATCTCCAGTGGTAGTACCAAACAAGACGCTGCAGCAGACACAAAACTTACATCATCCAAATAGTTTGAAAGATGTTTTTATCACATAAAAACTAAATAGAAATATAGGAGCTTTAAGTTTTGTATCAAACAAATGGTAAAACAAGATGATGACATTCAAAAACCATCAAGCACACATAAAAATCATTGAAATGTGACAATTTTTCCCCTAATGTTTGCATTAACTTTGTATTAAAGGTGATAATAATAATTGCATGTAGCCGTAGTCATGTAGCTGTAAATATGATGTGATAGATAGAAAGAACAAGAACATAAATATTAGTAAAAATAATACAAGACAGGTGAATAAAAATGGATAAATATTAATCAAAATAATTATACCGATACAAAACAGTAATCTCAGTACAAAGACAATTGGAAAAAAGATAAATAAAGTTAAAGCTAAAGTCCGGGTTGTTTGTTAAGCTGAAGTATGGGGTGAACAGAGGCAGTCAGGCTGTAGAAGCTGAATGTATAACTGTTATTTAACAGCCTGAACAGGGCTGATGTGATTATGTTCCTGTGGCGGAAATGATGGATAGATTCCTCCCTGACGTAATGCATCAAACGCTCTAATCAGGACAAAGAAAAAAATAAAAAGGTGTTCACTTCTGAAGCTGAAACGGACAAAAACAAGTTATTTTTAGTGTGTTTCAGAATTGATGAGAACTACAGACATCTGAAGTTGTGTTTCTAAACTTGGCTCAGAGTCAAAAAGCAAAGCCAAGATTCCTTTTAATCTCTGGAAACCAGTGTTGTTTTCAGTTTTGTGTCTGGCACACATCTAAAGTTGAATGTTGGCCACCTGGTTTAACTTGCTTTTATTCATTTTGACAGGTGAATAAATCTGGATAAAAGCTGAATGTGACTGCCGGCCTGTCAAATAATGAAAACAAATGTAAAAAGGGGCTAAGATTGGTAGTAATTTAAGAAACAATGGGCTATTAGAGGAAAGCAGCTTCTCATTTTTGCCTTGGACTGTTGATTTTACAGAAATAACAACTGTCATTGACAGATCATCATCAACAGCTAATTTATTCCTTGGGTTAGTTGAAATGTCCTCGACTGACCTTAAGTCGTTATTGCAACTGGGAAGTGAAAGCTCTGGTATATCTGACATGGTGCTTAAAAATACAGTGTTTTGTGGTTAGTCTATTGTCTGCTGATATTTAATAGATATAGAGCTATACTGAACAAACAGTAATTTAAACCCTTATATATTAAAACACAGAGTTCTTTAGCAATCAGTTGTCTTGCTTGGTAGTTCGATGTTCACATTTATCTTTCTGTTTTGTTTTGTTTTGTTTGTGTTCATTGATTAAGATTAATGGGTGAGAAGTGGTAGCACAGTTGTCCAATAAAGCAAACGCTTGCTTGTGGGTAAATATGTGAATTTCACCTTTACCTTCCCTTCCACATGAATGGGGCATTAGCTCACAAACATCTTGGGCTTATGGGAAATGGTGTTCGTTAAAGGTCAAGGTTACTTTTATTGTCTGCTAAAGGAGAAAACTTTAATTGAGTTAAAGGGAACTGCTGCATGAAAACCAAACAAAAGCTGGGACAAAATAATGCTGTTAAAATAAATAAAAAATGAACAAACAACAATATTAGATCATTATGAAGCGAGCCACACAACATACTGTTGAGAAGAGCTCTGTCCCAAGGATTTTTAGTAATCAGTATAGTTACTCATGTCAGCTTATGCTAATGTTTGCTGCATCACAGAGCAGCAAACATTAGCATAAACTCTGATTAGCACTTTGTAGCATCTAGGATTGGTGTTACACCTCATGTGTTGTGTGGATCCTGAGGGATTAGTAACCAAACCAAAATAACCAAACAAAATTTGTTTTGCTAATGGTAAGCTAACGTTAAATGCTAGGTTACTGCAGCTGCTAGTTAGCTAGCCATGTTGAAGTTTGGTTAGAACAAACAAACTGTTAAGTCTATTTTTTTTTTTTAAATCTCTGTTTATCTTTATAAATTCACATACAAAGTAAGTAAATTTAGTAAACAAAATAAAATATAAATACAGCAAGTGAACAAGTACAATATCTTTTACAATATAAAAATCAATAAACAATTTTAAAAAAGGCAAAAAAAGAAAGCAAGAGACTGTAAAATAAATAAATAGATAATAAATCGAATAATATAAATATACGGAATCAAGTTCAGTCGGTATTGGATTCGGAAAGCTATTTTATGTCAAGATGTGGTTGGCATGAGATGTTTGGAAGAAGTTGGATTTTACAACACAACGTAAAACCAACAAAATATCACCGTTGGCTGTCGTCGGTATTGTACATCAAATTGACGTTGGAGTTAAACGTTATCCTGACATCAACCGTCGTAACCTACGTTCAGCCAAATATCAACATGCTAATGCAGAGCTACGATTAATCTCTGTTTGGGGAACAGGTGTAGTGATCGGTCCATTTAAAAGTGAAAGTTTATATCCTTCAAAATGGAAGAACCATATAAAGCACCAGCAAGCCATCTACAGTATTGTATTATACAGCTGAGTAAATGAAGGTTCTTGTTTTGTTCGCCCTCTGCCAGTTTCTCTTCAGCTGCCTGGATGTTGACAGACATTAGCTGTCGAGGCTGTAACGCCACTGTGTATGGAAGACAATTATAGACAGTAAATTGTTGAAGAAGCTGTGAACGTGTAACGGCAAGCAGAAAGTTCAGATCAAGTTCACCCACATTTCTTGAATATTACTTCCTTCACAAATAATTCATTTATTTACAGGAGTTTCATTTCCTCTGGTAACACAGTGTACAGACCAACAGACATTAAAAGTATTGATTTTAACGCCTAATAAAACCTGCCCTCCAGCCCTTTCTTGTCAGTAAACATAAAGGCGCTCATTATGTGCACTTAGAGAAGCCTGCGTTTCACAGGGCTGTAATTTCAGCTTTTTCTTTTGGTCACTAGAAGACGTATTTGTGACTGCTCATTATTATCATCAGTCAGCTTTCAAAGCCACACTGAAATGGAAAATTGATTTTTTTCACTTTAATGACTTCTTCTCAGCAGACACTTTTTTTTTAAATTCAGTGGCAACGAAATGATTTAAACCAAAATCAATTTAAATGCTGCCAAATACTGAATTTATTTTTAAAGTTAAATATAGCGTGACGCTGAGAGTGGCTTTTTTTCAGACACAAAAAAAAAAAAAGGTGGTTGTTTGAATTTCTATTGTGTCGTATCAAATACTAAATAGCGTATTTAATTGTTGACAAAAAAGGTACAATGATTTGTTGTGAAAATGGAGACTGCAGTGATTTTAGGAAAACCAACATCTGGTAGTCTCAAAGGCACAATTGTGATGCATTACAATGAAAATAAAAAAAAGAAATATTCAATCTTAAAGGAGTGATTTAGTATTGTACTACAATAAAGAGCCGGGGCTTTTCAAGAGACAGATTTGAAAGGACTATACAAAAATGCCTTCATCTTTCAAACTCCATGTTCCCTATACTTTTCATTTCATGTCATTTATCTCACAAAAACCAGAGTAAAAAAAAGAAACGGCATACAAACATGATAATAACAATGGATCAAAATGGGACACCCTTTATAAGATGCTTTTTTTCCCGGTCTTGTGCGTATGTGAAGGAAGGTAAATTGGAATAAGGTCACAGAATCTGCCATTTAGCTCAAGTTCAACATTATACATAACACGAGCCTTGTGAAAGATGTTACATTTCCCCTTTGGATCACAGACCTGTCCAAATGCTCCAACAGCCTGTGACCCTTTAAAGTGTCTGTCATCTCCGTGTTTCTGTGTCTGCAGGGCGAGTGCTCCCAGAAGTGCCACAGCATGTTTGTGGTGGAGTCCATCTGCGTCGCCTGGTTCACGCTGGAGTTTTTGCTGCGATTTGTCAACGCTCAGAGCAAGCTGGCCTTCGCTCGCGGCCCCCTCAACATCATCGACGCCATCGCCATCCTGCCGTACTACGTGTCCCTGGTCGTCGACGTCAAAGACGAGACAAAGGAGGAAGTCATCATGGGTGCCGGCAGAGGCTATCTGGATAAACTGAGTCTGATCCTGCGCCTGCTACGGGCTCTGCGCATCCTGTACGTGATGCGTCTTGCTCGCCATTCTCTGGGCCTGCAGACGCTGGGACTGACCATGCAGCGCAGCATGAGGGAGTTCGGCCTGCTGCTGCTGTTCGTCTGCGTGGCCGTGACCCTCTTCTCACCTCTGGTCCATTTGGCGGAGAGCGAACTGGCGCCATTTGCCGCCACACACCCCCACCACAGCTTCAGCAGCATCCCAGCTTCTTACTGGTGGGCCATCATCTCTATGACCACGGTGGGCTATGGCGACATGGTGCCGCGCAGCATCCCTGGACAGATAGTGGCACTGACCAGCATCCTGAGTGGCATCCTCATCATGGCGTTTCCCGCCACCTCCATCTTCCACACCTTCTCCCGCTCCTACCAAGAGCTTAAACAGGAGTACGAGCGGCTGTGGAAGGAGGAGAGAGGCGAGGAAATAGCCGCTGAGTCGGAGGAGAGTTGGTCCAAGGTCAATTTGGCACCAGATGATCTCACGTCTATGTCCAAGGAAGAGAATGAAGCGCTGATGTCAAGCAAGAGTCATCAATCCACACTTCCATCTACAGCTTTCTGAAGGAGCGGGCAGCGAGCAGACACATTTATTCAGAAATATGTTAAAAATGGTGACACTCGACCGCGTACTCTATCCGTATAAGTTCTTTAGACTCCAAAGGACTGTTATATTTTGAACTGTGTATCTCACTTTAAGTTTTATGTCTCTCCGTGTTCTGGATTCATCTACTTATCAGATTGTATCAAGTCTTTTTTCATATCTGCCAATACCTTGTACGCAGCACTATGTACTAAACCGTTAACTCCAGCTGATCTGAAAATTGAATTCTCCTCACTTTTTGTGTAAGGAAATGTAAACTACAGTCTTGCTGCAACTATTGAGCACATTGTGTTTGTGGAGAAGCTGCTGCTGAACATCATGAATGTCGATACAAGGCTTTTTCAACGTGTTCACGTATCGTTAGCTGTCAACCGTTGTGATTTAAGGCGTCTTTCCCTTTACAGCAGTCAACATTTGGAGAAGCTTGTTAGCCTACCTTGCTAACGTTAGCACTGATTCCCATCAGAGCTTAGTTTTCGTTCAACACCTGTTGGGTTGTGGCAGCTCCTGCGGTACAGGAAAATAGTGGTTCTAGCTGCTGTTAGCTGTCTCTCATTTGTAGATCCAGTTTGGTTCTATGGGAGTTTATTGATGACAAACAAATTGAGAGAGCACAATGATAATTTGAGCGCTGCTCAGTCTGCAAGTCGACTTTTGAGAGAGGGTTTCTCAAGCTTGTGTCAGAGAGCTTGAACGCACCCTCTGAAATCTAATGAGCCTGTTATGGACCTGTTTCAATAACTGTGACCTGATTTTGACTGCACGGGGGATTAAAAAAAACTGGTGTTCAAATAATAATTGTAATAATGATAATGATAATGATAATGAAATTATTATGGCCTGTGGCTTCATTCAGAAAGGGAACAGAATAGGTGTGACACAAACCTGACAGACGGACTAAATTAGGGGATGAATAAGAGGATCACTTGGATGGCCAGAATTTGGGTGAACTTCGATCTAAAGTGCTGATTCACACGTCCACAATAATTGAAATTGCAGGCTAAACATTAAGACATGCAGGCAAAAAGATATGTAAATAGTCTAAACAGTAATATCCATGCATCATCTTTTCCCTGTGCGGACACTGAAGAAGCCACGACCCTGACGTCCAGATGTGGGATGTGGCGACCTCTTTGACGGCTCAGAGGTCAAAACAGCTGGAGAAAACCGAGCGAGCAGGTGGAATCTGATTCTGCTCAGACAAATCCAAAGTCAAAAGTCGACTTTGTGCTCTCTACAATCCTTTCCATAAATCACAGCAAATAGTCAGACGGTTAAAACTGACAGCAACAGGTGTCGTCCTGTGACCTCAGCGCTTCGCACGTTGAAACACAACAACACAAAGAGTGCTCAAATCACAGCGAAACAACAGGTACAGTAACAACGTTGGATCCCCGGCCCCCATTTTTGCTGTTGTAAGTGAAGTAATAAATCATTTTCAGCGCCCGCCATCACGGATGTTGCACCAGTCAAATTACAGTAGTCAGTCATTGTCAGTAACAAGAACTCATGCAGTGATGTCACCGCAGATAGAGAAATAAAAATCAAATCTCTTCTTTTACCAAAAAAAGCACGCAAGTGAGATCACACACCGAGGAGTCATGTATTGATTTCTTCACAGCACCAGTCAGTTTCATGTCTCTGCAAGTCGATTTGTCAGTGGAAAGCGACGACTGCCTGGACGACCCTGTGTCCTACAAATTATGTTCATGTACAACTAATGTGCAGCAGCAAATATGTTTTTGTAGGAAGTGTAACAGCAGCTGGATTACTGGGAGACAGGGTTAGCCTGGAAGGTAAGAAAGTAATTTGTGTCTGAAACCACTCCCTCGTTCGCTCATTCATTTCTGCCTGTATAACAGAAGCTCAGCAGTTAGGAGATTTGGATTTTTGGACACATACTCATATTTCTGAGGGCACCATATATCGTATATTAATTTACACAGAATTCGGACACTGTAATAAAATGGCGGAGGGTAAATGAGGAGCATTATGTAACAGACAGTGGGTGATTTCAGACACAGCATTACAGTATGAACATCAGCAGTGTTTCAGATTAATGTCCAGATGAATCTCATCCTCCACTCAGACGTCTCAGTGCTTTGTCTCCCTGTCTGTTAACCCCACAGGCGTTTTCAAAATAAAATGATCTCTTTTACTCTTTTGCTTTTGTTTTTCTAACCGCCTGAGAGGATGAATGTTGTGTTGTGCTCAGTGGTGGAAGTAACCGAGTACATTTACTGAACTACAGTATTCAAGCACAATTACGAGGCACTTTTTTATAGCACTTTTACTCCTCTACATTTCAAAAGGAATTATTGTACTTTTCCCTCCAGTACATTTATGTGACAGCTGTAGTCACTAATTACTTTTCCGATTATGTGTTTTACATGGAAAAAAAAACAGCATGAAAAGATTATTAAATCAAAAGCAGTGTCTAACCTTCATTGGAGAAAAATCCAGACACTGGAAAAAGATTTGTTCAGCGGAACTTTGTTTCTTTTTTCTTCTTTCCTCTCCCATTAATTATCCCCCGACCCCTCACATTTATCTGGGGACCCTTTGACCCCCAGGTTGGGAAGCACTGGACTAAACCATTCAAAGTACTGTATATAAAATGGTTCAAACCAGCTCCACCAAAACTAGCTACAACAGTAAAATAATACTTGTACATTAATGCATTAATTACATTAACAATCTAATAATGTTATATATTCTAATATATCAGTCACAGGGGACATTTTACCGCAGAACAAGTACTTTTACTTGATACTTTAAGTACATTTAGCTGCTAATTATTATGTACATTTATTTAAGTAATTATTATGTACATTTATTTAAGTAGGATTTTTAATGCAGAATGTCTAATGCAGTATTTTTGCATTGGTGTATTGGTACTTTTACTTAAATGAAGGATCTGAATACGTCTCCCACCACTGGTTGTCCCACAAGGAAATATATCAAATTATATTCCACACACAAATTACATAATTTAACAGTCACTATAAAATGCACCTTATATTCTGAAGCATATATAGAAAAATAGTAAAGAAGTAGAATGTGGAGACTGGTTGTAAACATACCGACTGATTCAGAAACTTTAATGCAGATTTATTTCACCGTTTGTGTCTTTTGATTTGAAACCATCTAAAATTCTCCTCTCGTCGACATCTGTCGTTATCGACTGTGTTCCAAGACCCAGATGGAGTGTTTTGAAAAGCCTCTTTCTGTCTCGTCATAGCTTGTTCAGACAGTGTTGCTGGCATGATTCACTCAAACTACAAACAGTGGAAACACTGAAAAGTCCAACAATCACTTCTTGTTTGTCCTCTACCTCACTTCCTTCAACCCACACTGCCTGCTGTCCTGACGGAGGAGACTTCGACACAAAACATTCAGCTGTAGAAAGGAAACGTGTGATTGACATGTGACAATCATGACCTCATCAAAGGTCTAAAGTGATTTGACCATTATTGATACAACCAGCTGATGGTGACTGATTAGAGAACAACCTCTACATCTGCTCTAAATTTAACAAGATGTCACAAAATTATACTTGAAACATTGAAACTGAACATGTCACTAACAACACATTTGTTTTCTTGCAGTACAATATCCATTTATTTACTTATTTACAATAGCATTATTTAATGTTTTATGGTAAACATATTTTCTATAGGAGGCAGGGTTGAACTTCGAGGGGGAAATCGAGGTAACACTGCAAATGAGTTCTTCACAGCAGAGTGGAGCCACGGCCTTTTCACCTTCAGGGAACATTTTTACATACGTTCACCTCACGTGACCATGTAAAACACAAACGCTGGACATCGTAACAGAATGTAAATGACAGAAAATAACAAAAAGCTTTATAGTCAAACATTCACTTAAAGGTCCAATGTGGTATAAAGGTACATATCCCTGTCTTTTATTATAGATCAGGTCTAGGTTCTATATTAATACTGTGAAAGTATCAAAGCCTCAGTCCACAGAGAAATGAACACAGTCTTTATTCGGAAACCGAGCCTTAAAACGAGCCGTCAGGACTTCTGGAGCTTTGTGATGTCACAACAAAGCAGTCACAGCTCTCAACCATGCCTCAAGCCCCGCCCACCTGGACCCACCACCCGACCATGCATGGTTTGGTTTCTCTGACTGTTTACCTGAAATCTGCTGTATTTCTAGTCAATTTCTAGTCAGCCAATCAGAAGAGAGGCTCTGAGCCTCCTCTCTTCTGATTGGCTCACTGACCTTTTGTGACAAGAGCTTCAGAGAGAAACCTGAGAGAGGAGATATAAAACTACATTGAGATGGTTTTTGGTTCTTAAAACCACAAATGTATCTTCTTATGGATCAACACTTCAAATAAAACAGGAAGTGTAAAATATGGAGCTTTAACTGATGAAAGCTTAAAACTGAACATGAGAACAGTTAGTACATTTCATTCATTCCTTCATTCAACAAGTTTTAATTTTGGACCTCAGCAACTATATCAACATTAATATAATTATTAATAATTTGGATAAAAAACAAAACACAGAATGTATACACTGTACGTTCAGTTGTGGTATAAATATTAAAAAACCTTCTCCCTGAGTGTCACTGTCTCCATCAGTACTTGACAAGGAGTTTGGCTCCTGACTCATGGCCTCCAAAATAAACAGCAGGAAAAAATAAATAAATAAAAAAACAGAACAAGTATTAAGGCTAAAGCTTTTATTCAGAAAGGTGCAGTACCTCATGGAGGAGTACTGTACATTTTAAACACACTTTAATCAGAACCAATAAATTAGACTCTCACATACATACTGTACATGCATGAGTATTTAAATATGACTTCCTATGAATACAGTAATGAACAGTAATGCTACTTGTCATTTTATAATCTTATAATATTCTAAAAAGCATTTTCAAGCTGCATTTGAACTGAAAGTCACAATGCCATTTACAGGCAGCAACTTTTCTGTGTAATCATCATTAAGTTGAATAACAGACATGAACATTATATTAATAAAGGAACTTGAATAACATCTAATAGTTATTTCCACATAAAGGAACATCATTCTCACATTGTTTCTACCCCTTTAAACACCTGGAACTGTTGAAAGGGGCCCTTGGTGATGTAGAACTGGCAGTTGATTTCTTAAACTCTTCCAAAAGATTCTGCGCCCAGGTCCAGCTGGGATCAATACAAAACTTCTTATTGCACACTGTTGTGACTCTGTAAGAAACACATGACACATATTGGACAGTGTTAGAAGCACAAGAACACAATCACAGTATTTTTGATGCAAAGCAGGATTCATGTTGGCGTGGTGTTTGTTTCCACCTGATGAATCTAAGTCCAGTGTTCCCCCTCTGCTTGGTGTCCACCGGGGAAACATCTGGCTCTTTAGCTGCTAAATGCTCCACTATGTTCAGCGGCTGCTCTCTAACTGTGTCCGTCTGGTGGTGGACAGTGGATTTTTACAGCTGTTTCTCTGAACCTGCCTGCTGAGCTTGCTGATGCTATGAGAGCGGTGAGTCTGAACCAGAACAATAAAATTGTTGTCCACAGATAAACTATGAGCTGAAACTCACTGTGAAGCTTCACGGAGCTCAAGCAAGCTGCAGATTTAGCTGATAATTCTCTGTAGGTTTGTCACTAGCACAGACACTTTCACAATTCATATTATTATTAAAAAAAAGGAATAAAATTTTGCTGCTCTACTTGAGCTTTTACTTTTCATCCTGTGATACTACGTTACAGGACACGTAACAGAGGCTGGATGTGATTTACACCTGTACAATCTGGACCAATGAAATTCAAAACACAAAGAAAGCAAAACTTATGTTCATCACTTTCTCCATTTACTTAAGTAAACGCATTGAAACAAGACAAACTGTAAGCTTCTCTTCCTTTTATAAAAGTGTTTAAATGCAAAAAATAATTGCAGTAACAGCACAAGTTCAGTTCTGTACACTTTCTGGATATACTCACACAACTGCTTTGTTTGTGCAGTCATCTGGGGTCATCCCCACATGTTTCACCTTCGACTTAGGAACTGCTGTTCGGTTGAATCCTGTACAGCATCCTCCCTTTAGCATCAACTCTGTTGCGAGCGGACCTGCAAACACATGAAGACACATTTATTACATGTTGAGACCGGACTGAACACAGTCTGTGGTTCAGGTTCACAGCTCTCAGAGACGTCAAGCAGAGTTACTGACTGGCAGAGGTGTGATGCAGGAAGCAGATCAGAGTCAGAAAAAGGAGAGTCAGCAGCGTCTTCATGGTTCCCCGACAGAGACAGATGTTCTTCTTCTGTTTGGATGAAAGACTTTGATCTTCAGGGCTGATCTGGTCTGATCTGTGATGGAGACTTGCTCTGTGCCCCCTTTATATACATCATCTCTCAGTACTGTCTCATTCATAGTGATTTCTATTCTAAGAACCAGCTTGTGCTTTCCCTTCTGTTTCCTCTTTAATTTGACACTAGTTCACTGTCCTACAGAAAAAAGAGAAGTTAATACCGTAAAATAATTCAGCAAAAACCTCTACACAGAATAAAATGGGGGATTTTTTTTAGGTGTGGATGCTCTCAAGACATTTCTGCCAATAAGAGAAGAAGACTTTTAACTGCAACCAGACACTTTGGTACAAGTCAGTTTGTCTAATTGGCGTCTTTGCATCACAGGTGACATTTGTCTTTATTTAGAATGAAATCAGCAACAAAAGCACTATTTACTAACCACTGAAATGTGGTATATTCTCTTGATGTATGTTTGCCCCCTTTATATACATCATCTCTCAGTAATGTCTCATTCATAGTGACTTACGTTCTAAGAACCAGCTTGTGCTTCCTCTTCTGTTTCCTTTTATTTGACACTTGTCACTGTCCTACAGAAAAATGAGAAGTTAATAACATGTAAAAAAAAAACTTATGCAAAAAGCTCTACACAGAATAAAATGGGGGATTTCACATGTGCTTGTGTTTCCAGGTTCTCACACGCTCAGGTCATTTCTGCCTTTAAGAGAAGAATATTTTTAACTGCAACCAGCTCACACAGAGAAGTCTGTTGTTTGTATCAGCAGAACTCATCCCTTCACCACAGTCTGCTGGAGGAAGCTTGTTCTGTTTATACACTGAACTCTCAAACTCTCTTTCCATTAAAACATCCAAAATCAAATAAAGACTCAGCTTTGTTAGCCAGGAGAGATGAATGATGACTGACATTGTTTAGTCAATACAACAGATTCATAGGTTTCACAATCTAGAGTTTTCTTGATTGGTCAAGTATAAAATGTCATACTGAGAGTTAAATACAGAAACTTAAGCTGTGCACAGCTAGTTGATTATCAGGTGTGTCCTGGGACTGATAACCCCTCAAGTCTAATAACAGATACATTGATGTTTAAATACATACAGGGGTCATGTAATGCTCGTCTTACTAAAGCTGGGACCACCAATCTAAACTAAAAAGTCCAGGCGCCACAGTGAAAGTGAAAACCAAGCCATGGCTGCTATAAAAAGACACAAGGACCAGCATTATTAACAAGAGAACACTTAGTCCCCAGTACGCCAGGTGAATTTGTAAATGCATCTTTTTCTCTCCGCCCCGCCCACCTGGACCCACCACCCGACCATGCATGGTTTGGTTTCTCTGACTGTTTACCTGAAATCTGCTGTATTTCTAGTGAAATTCTAGTCAGCCAATCAGAAGAGAAGCTCTGAGCCTCCTCTCTTCTGATTGGCTCACTGACCTTTTGCGACAAGAGCTTCAGAGAGAAACCTGAGAGAGGAGATATAAAACTACATTGAAATGGTTTTTGGTTCTTAAAACCACAAATGTATCTTCTTATGGATCAACACTTCAAATAAAAACAGGAAAAGTGTAAAATATGGACCTTTAACTGATGAAAGCTTAAAACTGAACATGAGAACAGCTAGTACATTTCATTCATTCCTTCATTCAACAAGTTTTAATTTTGGACCTCAGCAACTATATCAACATTAATATAATTATTAATAATTTGGATAAAAAAACAAAACACAGAATCTGTAGTGGTGATTTCCTTTTTGAAGTATACACTGTACGTTCAGTTGTGGTATAAATATTAAACAACCTTCTCCCTGAGTGAGCACAGCTGAAGGTCACTCACTGTCTCCATCAGTACTCGACAAGGAGTTTGGCTCCTGACTCATGGCCTCCAAAATAAACAGCAGGAAAAATAAATAAATAAATAAATGAATGAATGAATGAATGAATGAACAAGTATTAAGACTAAAGCTTTTATTCAGAAAGGTGCAGTACCTCATGGAGGAATATTAAACGTACACTGAAAAAAATGTGGAGTGCGATTTACTTTAAAAAAAAACCTCGGTAACAATTTACACACACAAATTCCTAGTAAATTTAACTTAGGATATTCTCAAGTAAAGTCTACATACCAATAAGTATTAAGTTTAACCAAGAAACACTTGTAAAGTTTACTAGCAAATTTCTGTTTTCATGAGTAAATTTTACTCATTCCCCTTCTGTAAAATTTACTCAGACTACCACTGCATTTACTTACAAATTTCTGTAAAAAATACTTGCTTTTTCCTAAGCTTTTAAATGGCTGGACCTAGTTCTTAATTTAGCATTATTTCAGTAACATTTACTTGAAAAAGACATTGAAATTCTAATAAGAAACACATAACATGAAATAACCTTTTTAACAGTACCTTTATTTTCCAACACTGGTGAAAGAGGTCACTGCTTACAGTATTCCAACATACTGACTCTGGCGCTGGCATTACCAGATACATTTCAAAACAGTGTTGCCAGTTAGAATTTAAGAACAACTTTCACTAAAAGCCATCAGTGTGTGGCTGTTTATTGTGTGCTCTGACACATTTTTAAATGGGACATTTGACCTCTGATGCTTTGTATGTCAGAGAGCCTTGACAAGAACATTTACAAAGAAAATGTCCAATGAAATGCCTAAAGGTATCACTTTAAAGTGAAACAACTGCAAGTACCATAAAGTGCAAACGTTTGACGAAAGTGGCACCTCACGTCCAGTGTAACACACACACACTGGACCGTTATCACACTGTAGCCATGTTTACCTGTGCTCAGAAGCGTGTCTGTGTCTGCTGCCCTCAGAAAAGGTACGTTGTGACTCAAGTCCAAAGCGGTCCGCGGACGCGGGAAGAGCGGAGGAGCCCTTAGCTAGCTAGCTAGCAGGCTAAAATATCCAAACCCTGACGAGCCAACATAAAAATAAAAAGTTAATTAATCATATACATACCCCAAGGGTCCACGTCCATCAATTGTCTCATCAAATGAGCATCCAAACGATCCCCCAGTCGAGGTGAGTTGTCCAGGAACCCTGTTCTTGCTGCTGCCTCAGAAGTGAAAAGTACATGCACTCTGACCTCACCTGCTGAGCATGCGCAATATTGGAAGCTGACCTCCTATTACCCAAGTAAATTTTACTTGCTTATATCAGGTTGTACAGTCAATACAGTTGTTAACTTAATATTACTTGGAGTGATGGATAATATTTCCTTATTAAAATGAGGATACATAATTACAAACAAACATCAAGAAACACATTAAATAAAAGGTGACATTTTAAAGTAAAAGCACTGAAATAATATTTCCTTGTAAAATTTCAACAAATAATCAAGGTTATAATTACAAGACCAAAAAAATATTTTTTTTCAGTGTACTGTACATTTTAAACACCCTTTAATCACAACCAATAAATTAGAACACAACTGTCTCACATACATACTGTACATGCATGAGTATTTAAATATGACTTCCTATGAATACAGTAATGAACAGTAATGCTACTTGTCATTTTCTAATAAACTCTGTGAGGTCACAATGTAATTTACAGGCAGCAACTTTTCTGTGTAATCATCATAAAAGTTGAATAACAGACATGTACATTCTATTAATAAAGGAACTAAAATAACATCTAATAGTTATTTATATAACACTGGTATTCTCTGTAGCAGCTATGGTGAGGACAGTAGCAGAAATGAAAGCAGTATTAGTGGGATCGGCAGCAGTACTATCATTAGTAATAGCATTAGCAGTTTCAGCAGTGTTGATTGTGAAGGACTTTTCTAACCTTTAGACCTCTTTTCTTATTTTGTACGGCCACACTAACTGATAGTATCCAGATGGAGCCACTACTATCCTCTGTAGCTATAGGAACCAAGGTCTTATAGAGAAGGATGCAGAGAAAAGCATAACTTAGAGAGAACTGTCGGTCCCTGACAAGGATGAATGAAGCCAGACAAAGGGTCTGATACACTCGCAGCAGATAGGTACGATACTGTATGTGACTATGTTCAAGTCACACATGTAGGAGAACTCAGGCACAGAAATGTTTTGTAACCATGTGATGCCTGGGAATACCTACACCCTGCAGGACCACACATTTTCAGGAATTGGTCACTGACATTGTGCTGCTCATAATTTTTCTCCTTTCAACAAATACTTCTGCCTGAGACATCTGAATCTGAACTCCTGGTGAACGCTCACGAGAATGGCCACCTCAAAGTCGAGTTCACTGGTTGACTTGCATGTGAATAAAATTAATGAAAGGGCAGAGAGGAAATCTTTTCTGATGTCATTTTCAATTCCTCGTCTGTTTCTATTTACGACTCTGGTGGTGACGTCACGGAGTCCACGCGGCCTGATTAGCATACAGACACGTTATTAGCATACTTTAAATTCCAGGTGATTTAACTCAGTTCAAGCCTCAATCATCTCTCTCTCCCTCACCTAGGTCCAATTTAACCCTGTTTCAAATCTGGTTCCTAGTGTGTGTTTGTGGGTCCGGAATTAACAGCCAACCGTGACAGTCAGTGCATCAGTACATTCTCACCATAATCACGTGAGAACAAACCAAGGAGATTACATGTACTACTTGACAACAAAATGAACATGACTTGAGGAAAACTCACTGAACGCACTCAGGAACAAAGGTGGTGAAATGAGCAGCTGAACTGAAGGGCAAACAGAGACTGAGCTCAGGACACCTGTGTGTGTGAGCTGCCCAGTTAGCACACCTGTTGTGCTGCTGCTCTTCCAGCAGTCACGTGACCCCACGTCCAACAGTATACGTTATTATTTAAGTCAATTTTTTTTTAAATGTCCAAAGATTCAGATTAACTAACCTTAATTAAATTAATGAGTTGATGAATAGCTGCATACATGAATCACAAGACTCTATAATAACTCCAGTGTTCATTTAAAATGTATTTCCCGATCAGTTGGGGTCTAGCAGTTAAACACCGATAACAGTTATGAATTGTGTTCATTTTTTAGGAAGTTTGTTTATATATTTAGCTTAGCTCTCCTTAAATTGGCGCTGCAGCCAGCACGTTTGTTCAGCCTTTACTTTGAAGAGGAGCTGTCTCCGTTTCCGGCTCTCGACTTCCATGTTCAATTTTTATTGTACAAGTTGGATAATGGGACAATAACACACGCAAAGTATTAACAGCGTTTAGGCAGCATCGGTTAATGAGGAACGAGCTCACAAACGTCAACATACATTTACACTTAGCACAAGTAGGACAACGAAATTAGGTAATACCCCCTAAACTGGCATCTGTCATTATACAACGTGAACAACTGCAGAAGAATTATACTTCATACACGGACCGTCAGGATCACTATTTCATTTTAAGACTGTAAAATGTCAGAATAATATGTAGAGAGAATGACCTATTTCATCTTTTATTCCCAGTGTGTCAGAAGTTTACAGACTCTTTGTTAGTATGGCATATCCTTTAAATTGTTCAACCTGGGTCAAATATCTCAGGTTGCCTTCCACAAGCTTCTCACAATAAGTTGCTGATTTTTGGCCCATTCCTTCTGACAGAGCTGGTGAACTGAGTCAGGGTTGTAGGCCTCCTTGTTTGCATACTGCCTTTTCAATTCTGCACACAAATTTTCCATTGGATTGAAGTCAGCGCTTTGTGGTGGCCACACCATTGCCCTGACTTTGTTGTTCCCAAGTCATTTTGCCGCAACTTTGGAAGCATGCTTGGAGTGATTTGTCCATTTGAAAGAACCATTTGGAACCAAGCTTTAACTTCCTGGATGATGTTTTGAGATGTTGCTTCAATATATATATCCACATAATTTTCCTTCCTTGTGACGCCATCTATTTTGTGAAGTACACCAGTCCGTCAAACAAACAATTAGATGCCCTTACAGACGTGCCAAAACTATAGATAACATGAAATCTGTGGAGTGGTTAAAAATGAGTTTTAAGTTAATGTAAACTTCTGACTTCAACTGTACACGAGGGTTTGAGATTAAAACATTAAGTCTGAGTGCTTGCAGAGAGCTCTTTCTTTGCTCTGTCTGAACTCAGTGTGAGATGTACAAATTTATGAAACTAAAGGCTGGGATGAGGAAAGGTTGAGTTCATAGAGAGAGCTCTCTGATTTCTCTGTAAAAAAAAAAAGAAAAAAGAAAGAGGCTCAAAAGTTGAGAAAATCTGAGAATTATTTCAGAGCTTCATGAGATTTCTTTTGAAATTTAAAAGGAGAGTAATTTGAGATTTTGTGAGTGTTTTTCTCCTGGAGAAAAAACTGAGAGACAGGAGAAATAAGCTATAGTCTCTCTTTTCCTCTGGGCTCTGTTTTTGTTCTTTCTTTGTGTCTTAAATCATATTAAATGATGTCATAGTTGTTTCTTTTCATAATTATAAAAACAGTACTAACCACGATGAGGGTTAGGATTGAATTTATTCCCCATGCATGTGCACTTATATTCTACAAAGTCACTGAGAGCAGCTTTACATGTTTTGTTTGTAACTGACTTAAAATGGCTTCAACAGCTGCATCTGTAAATTAAAGAGAGAAATGAAGCAACACAGTCAACACAGTGACATCTGGTGGTTTGTCAAACTCATAGCAGCATTTTAAGTCTCATACATGCAATATATTACAGTAAATTAATCAATGTTGTCTGAAAAGCCAGGACACAAAATGTTTTTGCGGACAGGAAACATTAATGTACCTTGTTGGTGCAGTTTGTGGCCAGTGTTCATGGTGCACTCGTGTTTTAACATCATGGCTGATATATACAGTCAGTGTTCAGACCCCGTCACTGTTTGAACACTTTATTGTCTTGTAAGTTTAATTTTAAATGGATGAAATTGCCATTTGATTAATTAAAATAAATAATTATAATAAGAAACTGAAATCTCTCTTTTATAAAAGTATTCACATACCTTTATTATGGCACTTCAGACTGTGGTCAGGTGTTTCCTGTTTGCTTTAATTATCCTTGAGGTGTGTCAAGGACTTGATTGTGCACCTGTGGTAAACTGAATTGATTGGACATATTTTAAAAAGGCACACACCTGTGTACATAAGGTCCAACAGTTCCCACACAGTTCCTAGGGTTGGTCGTCCAGATGAACTGAGTAACCGGGCGAGAAAGGCCTTGGGCAGGGAGGAGACCAAGAACCCAACAGTGTAACTGAGCTTCAGATGTTCAGATGGAGAACCTGCCGGGAAGACGACCAACTCAGCTGCTGTCCATCAATCAGACTAGACAGAAGCTACTTAAAAGTAAGAGTAAAAGTCATTTGATAGCCTGCTGGAATTTGTCCAGCAGCTTTTAAAGGACTGTGAGAACATGAGGAGAAATATTCTCAGGTCTGATGAGACTGAGGGAGGGATGAATGAAGCCAAATACAGAGGGGTCCTTGAAGAAAACCTGCTCCTGAGTGCATGAGACCTGGGACTGTGACGGCGGTTCAGCTCCCAGCCTCACAATGACCTGGAGCAAACGGCCAACGCAGTGCTGGAGTGGCTTCAGGACAAGTCTGATCAAATCCCAAACTGAAAGCCCATAGAATATCAGTGGAGAGACCTGAAGATGTCAGACATTCACAGACGCTTCCCATCCAGTCTGAGAGGATCTGTCAGGAAGGAAGGATGAGATAAACTGCCCAAATCCTGGTGTGAAACCTTGTAGAGACTCGCAGCTGTTACTGACTTCTACAAAGTACTGAATTAAGGGTCTGAATACATTTCTAATGAGATTTAGGTTTGAACTTTTAATCCATTTGCAAAGCAAAAAAAGTCCTAAACATGTTTACATTATGGGTCACTGAGTGTAGATTGATGAGCAAAAATTATTAAAATCAACCTACAGCACGATAAAGTGTCCAGAAGGTGAAGGGGTCTGAATACTTCCTGAAGTATGTAACATTTCTTATGAATCACACTGTGTATGAATCTGTAGTGGTGATTTCCCTTTTGAATTATACACTGTACGTTCAGTTGTGGTATAAATATTAAACAACCTTCTCCCTGAGTGAGCACAGCTGAAGGTCACTCACTGTCTCCATCAGTACTCGACAAGGAGTTTGGCTCCTGACTCATGGCCTCCAAAATAAACAGCAGAAGAAAAAAAACAGTGGAAATATAAAGACAAAACTAAAGCTTTTATTCAGAAAGGTGGTAGAATATCATTAAATATACTGTACATTTTAAACACTCTGCTTTAATCACTGAAAATATTAAATTAAAACTCAACTGTCACACATGCATCATACCACTTCATTTACAAAAGCCTCAGTGATGTGTCTTTCACAAGTTGCCTCTGGTTTTTTAATCACATACAGACATGTACATTCTATTAATAAAGGAACTTAGATTACAGGTAATAGTTATTTATACATCAAGGAACATCATTCTCACATTGTTTTTGCTCCTTCAACACTTAGAGGAGGGGGCAGCTGGTGATGCAGTGTTGCCAGCTGATTTCTCAAACGCTGACAAAAGTTTCTTGGCCCAGGTCCAGGTGGGATCAATACAAATCTTCTTATCGCACACTGTTGTGACTCTGTAAGAAACACATGAAACATATTGGACAGTTAGTTATATTTCCCTCAGGAGCTGGTGGAGACCAAAAATTGAGCTATAATACGTCAATATGGTGTTTACAGCTTGTTTTCGCTGCCACAACAATCAGTTAATGCAGGTTAAAAGGATCAAAAACACTCATTACGCAGATGTATGACTTGTGTTATGTATATTATATTATTATTATTGTTATTATTATTGTTACAATAACATCAACTGTTAAAAGGACGGATTTTATTCCATTGTAACTTAATGTGTATATATTCAGTAGTTAAAAAAGTAAAACTATGATATTTCCTCTCTGAATTGTGGATTTGAAGTTTAAAACAGTGGAAAATGGAAATAATGAAGTAACTGAAAAACTGTGCTTTTTATAGTATATGAGTAAATGCACTGAGCTACCAGGCCCAGCCACACACTGTCCCGTCTCTGACCTGCAGGTCTGTTGTACAATCATCGAACAGCTCCCCCGTGTGGAGAGTCCGCAAACTACAACACCTGAGTTTATAAAGTATTTGACAGCTACAAACAGCTTAAACAAAAAATACGATCAGTTTATAAAATTATAAAAAAAAAAACTAAAAAAAAAACTACAAAAAGCAGTTAAGATGGCTTCACCTTCAACAACGCATCAGTAATAATGATCCAAACATATAGATACACGGCAGTGACAACATGTGCAGAGGAGTATTTCTAACCTCATGATATTTCTCCTTTTACTTAAGTAAACGCATTGAAACAAGACAAACTGTAATCTTCTCTTCCTTTTATAAAAGTGTTTAAATGCAAAAAATAATTGCAGTAACAGCACAAGTTCAGTTCTGTACACTTTCTGGATATACTCACACAACTGCTTTGTTTGTGCAGTCATCTGGGGTCATCCCCACATGTTTCACCTTCGACTTAGGAACTGCTGTTCGGTTGAATCCTGTACAGCATCCTCCCTTTAGCATCAACTCTGTTGCGAGCGGACCTGCAAACACATGAAGACACATTTATTACATGTTGAGACCGGACTGAACACAGTCTGTGGTTCAGGTTCACAGCTCTCAGAGACGTCAAGCAGAGTTACTGACTGGCAGAGGTGTGATGCAGGAAGCAGATCAGAGTCAGAAAAAGGAGAGTCAGCAGCGTCTTCATGGTTCCCCGACAGAGACAGATGTTCTTCTTCTGTTTGGATGAAAGACTTTGATCTTCAGGGCTGATCTGGTCTGATCTGTGATGGAGACTTGCTCTGTGCCCCCTTTATATACATCATCTCTCAGTACTGTCTCATTCATAGTGATTTCTATTCTAAGAACCAGCTTGTGCTTTCCCTTCTGTTTCCTCTTTAATTTGACACTAGTTCACTGTCCTACAGAAAAAAGAGAAGTTCATAACATGCAAAATAATTCGGCAAAAAGCGCTACACAGAATAAAATGGGGGATTTTTTTTAGGTGTGGATGCTCTCAAGACATTTCTGCCAATAAGAGAAGAAGACTTTTAACTGCAACCAGACACTTTGGTACAAGTCAGTTTGTCTAATTGGCATCTTTGCATCACAGGTGACATTTGTCTTTATTTAGAATCAAATCAACGACATAAGCACTATTTACTAACCACTGAAATGTGGTATATTCTCCTGATGTTTGTTTGCAAGAAGCATTTTTAACAGCTCACACAAAGAGATTTCATAATCGTAAATCCTTCAGTTTGTATCGGCAGAACTCACTCTCTGCTGGAGAAAGCTTGTTCTGTGTATGTATCTACTGATCCACAATGTTTCTCCATGAGAGTCACTCTAATAAAACCCAAACTCACATTCCTACAACATCCAAATCCAAATAAAGAATCGAGTTTTTTAGCCAGGAGAGATGAATGATGACTAACATTGTTTGGCCAATATGACGAATTCCTAGGTCAAGTATAAAATCTCATATTGAAAGTTAAATACAGAAATTTAAGTCATGCACAGCTGGTTGATCTCGTAGGTTTCACAACTGGTTTTCAGACTTTACAAACATCTTATGACAGAACAATGAACTAACACGCCAGGCTTCATAAACATGCCTCTTCTATTTGAATAACTCTGATTATGTAGTTGAGGATTTGAGTCAAACGTCACATTTAGGCTTGAAGATCTGAGTGCGTACATCACAGGAAGAGCCTATCTTCAAGCACCTCCCACTAACACACCTGACTTTTCTCACCTTTTCTGTAATGAAGTGACGCTCTGTCCGACAGTCAGGGCCAGAGGCTTTATGGTTTTGGGTTGTCCGCCCATCCCGTTCTCGTGCACGCAATACCTCAGTACTACCTTGAGGGAATTTCTTCAAATTTTGCACAAACACTCACTTGGATTCAAGGATGAACTGATTACAAATTGGTGGTCAAAGGTCAAAGGTCAAAGGTCACTGTGACCTCACGAAACACGTTTGGACACAACAAAGCAATTTGAAGGAGTCATTTTCAGTATTTCTCAGTTTTCTGGATTTTTACAAAACCATCAATCAATCAATTCATTGAGAAAATAATCAGCAGATTAATCTGTAATGGAAATAAAACTACAACAGTAAAATCCTGATTTTATACAGAATACATGAGTGATAATGATCAAATGATACACAACTACAACTACACAAGTAATGGAAAAATGAACTCACGATGATGTCGGTGTCTTATCATCCATATACAAACATTGATTTCTGAATAAGAATTATTATAATTACTAATGAAATTGCTGTTTTTCTGTCTGGATCCTTGTGGTTTGACACAAAACATCCAGATTCAATTTGTTGTATTTATGTGTGTACATCATTTATTCATTTATCAGACCCTTGTGTCCAAAGTTATATACAGTATAAATAAGGTAGGCTACAATAAGCCACAGCAGATCAAGGAAAAGCCTTTGAAAATAAGAGCCTCAACACTCAGGGCCACAAAGATGCTGGTGCAGTGAAACATTAGTAGTGCCTTCACAGTGTCAGTTAAATTAACTTAGATTTCATCATCAAAGTCATCATCCGTCAACCATTAAGTAGCAGTAGCTGTGATGGTAGTAGTAGTAGTAGTAGTAGTAGTAGTAGTAGTAGCTGTAGCAAAAGCAGTAGTTGTTGTAGTATTAGCAGTATACACAGCGACAGTTGCTGGTATCAGCACATTGGTGATGTGATGCTGGTTTTCACTTCTTCATCTGTTTCCTTCAGCAACTCAGCAGCTTTTTTTCACAGAACAACCTGCAACAGAAAAGTCTTTCAAAGTAAATATGCTTTTACTTCATTATTCTAGCAACAACACAATATCAAAATGCAGAGAAGTGAAACACAACTCTCTTTTTCCTTATTCACCTTCCTAGAACATAATTAGATGTGATTATTAGACAGAAGATTAATTTTGTCTGTACAAAGAAGAGAAGTGGAGTATTTACATAAACAGATAATGGTTGTCCACATGTAGAAAGAGTCGTGGGACGAGTATGTTTCCCTGAGGAACTCCACAAGAGGTGTGGAAAGTAACTGAGTACATTTACTTAAGCAAATATACGTAAGTAGTTACTAAAACTTTTAGAAGCTAATGAAACAGTTTGTAACAGTGCTTGGACTGGTTACTCTGACTGTTGTGTTTATTCAAAACAGAGTGTGTCTGGGTTCTAGACGCAGGCTACAACAAGTTTACTTACAAACATATGGTGGTCTTTTAAAATATGATCCATTAAAAACCCTGCACCATGCCCACACAGGTGTTTTTAGCTACGTGGCCGATTAGATCTGCTCAAATTTGGATTTATGCAGATAGATAGATAGATAGATAGATGGATAGATACTTTTTTTTATCCCCCTGGGGAAAATTGACAATACAATGTGATATTATGTACTAATGAGTTACTGTAGAATTTCTAAGATTTATCAAGCGGAAGCTGATGAACCACGCTGCATCAGCGAGAAAAAAAAAAGCAAGCTTCTTCCTCTATATTTTGAACCAGCAAAATTCTGTTTACTAACACGTAAAGAGCATGTTCGCAGAAAAGCCGCTGAGGAGGAGGAAGTGAAAATATGAAAAGAAAACTACTGAGCGGCAGATATTTCTGATATTATATTGTCTTTAGTTTTGTTTTTTATGTTATATAATTAAACTAGTTTGTGCAGTCCTTTACCTGTTCTCTGTCTGTCACCAGCTTCCATGGAAAAGTTGTTAGAACAGCACCAGGACACACGAGTTTGAATTGTTTCTTGATATGTTTTTTTTGTACTGACCACAGTCACAAAGAAGTTTGGGAATAAACAATAACAATGAAAACATCAGCTCTACAGACAGACAGACTGAATTTTTAGGTGCTCATCCAGGCCTGCTAATAACTTCAAGTATAGTATAGTATAATAATGTAAAAGGAAGATTTTGGAGTTTTTGACTTGTGGTCGGACAAAACAAGATATTTAAAGTTGTGACTTTGGGTTGGTCATTTTTCATTATTTTGACCTTTGAAAGACAATTATTGAATTAATTGAGAAAATACTAAAATCAAAGAATTTAAATAAAGCTAATTAAAAATAAACCAAACTTACATGAATACAGTGCTGACATTTTGAAAAAGAAAAAACAACAACCAGGTTTAATTTTAATCTTTTTTATTGGTTAGGTCATCCAGCTACCTTACCTTCAAATAATTAAATTAAAATTCTTTTAAATATTGTCTTCAAAGAGGAAAGCATAACTAAAAAGCAAAACTCATTCACACATATCGTTTAAAATGTGAAAAAAAACAAAGTAAATTCAAGGCTCCTCCTAAAACACTCAAATCACAACATCAAACAAATAATAATTGAAATATAACACACTATACACAACTGAATCTATGAATCTGTAAAGAACTGGTGCAACATGGGCCAGAACAAACACACTGGTGCACTCGTTTATGTTTATCCAGTCAGGAGAGCAGTCGGTCCATCCTTCTGTTACGTTCATGTCACTGAATCTCTCTGGGGCTTCCCTTGGTGTCTCCAGGGGCCGAGTCGGGGCTGTGATTAGATGTGGGTGGGTGTCGGTGTGGCCGCGCGGCGCCGCGGTAAAGGCCAGTAACGATCATGGCTTCTTGATTTAAAAACCAAAGGTGTTCTCCCCGCTGTAAGCCACATATAAAAAGCCGTCCTCGTCCTTCTCCTTCTCATACAGCTGCCCCATCGTGATGCTGCAACAGCAGAGAGAGACTGTTACTACAGATGACTAACGACACCAGCTGATCTTATTCTATATTACTGTTATACAACTACTGTGTGCGCAACAAAGCCTGATTTAGCTTAATCCCCAACACACATGTCGAATAGTTGCCATCAAATGTGCTATTTCCTCCTGTTTGAGTAACTTTAGCTAAAATCTATAGTGAGCAGCTGTTTTAGGGAATAAGAAAGCCTTTTTAAAAATCAAAGTATTTATTTTTGAGCCCTTTTTAAAGATGTAAATCTCCAGTGAGCTGGGAGCCAAGTACCACAGACAGACAGAGAAAGTGTTTAGAGATGAGTAATAAAAGTTTGTCAAAATATCTGGTAGTAGAGATGTCCATCGCTGACTCAGGATCAGCTGATCCGAGCGTATCGGAATGAAAAGCCAATCAAAATCACTGGAGCTAATGCAGTTGTGTAAAGTAACTAAGTGCATCTAATCAAGTACTGTACTTAAGTAAAGTAAAGTACCTTATAATTGTACTTGATACTTCTACTCCTTATTTCAGAGGGAAACCAATCTGAAATTTTTGACAATTTAAGTATATTTTGATGCTGTACTAATACTTGTGTACTTTTAATTCAGTAAAGTTTTGAATGCAGGACTTTTACTTGTAACAGAGTATTTTTAGATTGTAGTACTGCTTCTGTTACTAAAGTGAAAGTACTTCCGACACCACTGTGCTGCAGCATTTCACTGCATATCGAGGTGAAAACAAACAGTGAGTTAAGACACTGAAGTTGGCAAAATGCACATGTTCATCAAGTCGAACTAGTAAAGTGTAGAAAACATTCAGGCAGCAGCTTCTCATGTTCTTTCACCAGTTAAAACAACAAACTGCAGCAGATCATATCAGCTGTCCCAAGTTATAATTAATTCTGTCTCTGACTTGACAAAATGCAACTCAAAGATCAAAGATCATTTGTGAGGGAAGACACCCCACTCTGTAATGCTTCTGTACAGTTGTAGTTGCAACAAATCCAACGCAGTGACACATCTTCCTTGTAGAGGATTGTGTAACATCAATTTCAGGAGGTTCTCCTGTTTAACTTTCCTTAATATCAGATCAATAATTGAAGCTTATCAGTCAAATAGTTTTGAATCAGGACTTTCAGTATTTAGATCATGTAGCGCATGGTGTGTCCACAGCTGTTCCTTCAATGTGTCAGATACATGTGTCAGGGCAAAAAGTTACCTACCAAGAAAAAAATGTTTTACCTTAATCTTTTGTTTGAAGATAATAATTATCTGTGAATTCTTTGACGAATATAACTTGTTCCTGATGAATTACAATTTTTTTTTAATGGAGGTTACATGTGTCTTTGCCATTTTTCAGAAAAGCTGCAGCAACACTAACTGACCAACTGATGCCGTAATCCTTCCTACTTGTTGCTTTCTGTGACGGGACTAAAAATACAGACAAGAAGTGATGAGTAATGACAAACGAGGCCAAGAGGAGTGTTGGGTGTAACTGCTGCTCTCCCTGGGTGATGTAAGGACTGCTGTATTGATGAATCAGCCCTTATATGCAATCCTCACAAGAGATTATTCATCCATGTTGTGTGGCAACATGGGGCGCGTTTAAATGTTTCTGCCAACTTTTTTTTTCTCTTTACTTCATAAAAGCAGGTTGCTGATGACATCTCTACGCTCAACCACAGATAAAAAATAAGAGGCCACATGGGAAAAGAAGGAACAGTATCCCTTTATCCAGAGTACAATGATGTCTGACATTAAACTGAACTCCTGCTGATAAAAGCCATAACTTTGATTTGACTGTAGTTTTATCTCAACTACCTTATATGACCATGAAGGCATTTGTACTGTTACAGTTATAGGCAATGTCCGCAGTCCAGCTGTTTAACCGGAAATTATTCTTTGGTGAACTGATCAAAAGAAATTTATCTGGCTTGATAATCAAATAAATGTTTCAGTCATTTTTCAAGCTGCATAAAATTCAAGGGAATTACTGCATTAAAAAATTTTTTTGCCAAATCATGTTCTTTCCTTGTAGCCCGGTAGCAACTGATCCCAGCTCAGCTAATCAGTACTTCATTGTCCATTTTTTTCCCAGATGCCTCTGGCTGCACTCCAGCTCAGGCTCTCACTGCTCCTCACTCTGCCTTTGATTCTTTTTATCACTTCTTAATCACAGACTTGTTTTAAATGTAGAACGGATCAAGTACATGGTCTTCTGCCCCTCCAGCTGTGACCGTGATTATCCCAGGGTCAGTAGCCCTGTAACATTAAAGGCTGTTTGTCCTGTTCAAACTGTGTAACTATTGTGCAGTCAACTTTAGCGTCTGCACTTGATTACTGAGTGAATCTGTACAGTCATGCTGCTGCATCATCACTTCAGCAGCTACATCCTGTTTACCATAGCACAAACTTCATACAATTTTCTGTATCACAAGGTTGGATGGACTTCCAAACAAACTCACATCTCTTAATATTTACATCTTGTCACAACTACCAAACCTAAGATATTCCTCGTGTGTGTTTGCAGAGATGAACTGCAAACTTCCCTCGAACTACAGTCTTTCATACCCCCTTTTTAAAGATTTTAAAACTTTATGATTCTTGCAATTGTTTTTAGTATTTGTATTTAGTTGTGTTATTTCTGTTTTCCGATTGTGTGTTTGTCTGATTAAGAATGTTTTTCTTGTTCTCAGGTCTGAAACAGAGATCTCAGTCTTAATGAGACTACCTGATTAAACACCCACACCCCCCCAGTGTCCCAGCCCTTACCTGGACTGAGGCACCGTCTTGTCCACAAACAGGAAGATGGCTTTCTCTGATGGCAGCTGGATGCGTTTCCTGATGATCCACATAAACTGAGCCACTGTGATGTCAGAGGGGACCAGGTACTTCCTCTTGTCGATGTCCACTATCTGTGATCCAGACACTTTCTCCACAATCACCTGACAAACCACACACACAGAGATGATTAGAACCAACAAGCAACATATAATGAAAGAAACCTTTTTCTTTTTCAGATGTTATGTCACATGAATTTCACTCACCGGGACCCTGTCAGGGTACTTGTTGCGGATTTTGGCTGACTCTATGCATCGATGTTCTGCAGGATGAGAAGCAAAAAAAAAACAAACAAAAAAAACAGTGTGTTAATCAGTTGGTTGATTTACATGAGAACAGAAATACATGACTCTTACTCAATACTTCCACTTCTGTACAACACCGGAGGAAACCTGTGATGGACTAAAATCAATATTTGACCACTGAGGTGAGAGATCCACAGACTGCTGCTGTGGATTAAGATGCACTGCGACCTGCTGAGCCACAACCATCAATCTTTTCTCTTAAAAAGGTGAATCATCATCATATCATGAATAAAACATTACCACATTAACTCTGTGATAATGGTATCATTTCTGTCCTGGAAGCAACTACACTGCCCCCTTTAGACAACTGGTTGGATACAACAAGCTATGTCAAAACATCACCTTTGGCTTCAGGAAATGGTGCTGGGTATTTTTTTCATTATTTATTTTTTTAACATTAAAATGACAATTCTTTTTTTTCTTTTTGTTTTATTCAAAACAATTAATATCAAAAATATTCTCAAGTCAAAATCAATAATGAAAATACTTATAGTTATAGATAGTTGCAGCCCCAGTTCGACAACCACACCAAAAACTAAAGATGTTCAGGTTACAGTGACGACAAAATGTAAATCAAATTAGAAAATTTAGCTAATGGCTAATAAGACTTTGAACCTGGAAAACATTTGCATTAAAGGGAAAATCCAGTGACTGAAAAGATGTGGGAAACCTTTATGGACTGCCTTTTACAATACAAGCATTTTATTCTTGTTAAAAAGGATCACATAGTGATTTAAGTAAGTTTGAAGAAACTGTATATTGTATATTATATTCTTTGTTTTGGTTAAATTTCACTCGTGCATTCATGCGCACCTACACTAGGTCTGTGTTTTGCTTTCTCTTTCTTTTTTGACCATGTTTTGTATATTTGGCATATATTCAAAAGATAATAAATGCAATCGCAACAAAAACAAAAGAAAACAATAGTTACCGATCGACTACTGATAAATAACTGATCATTAATGACAAATCATTTCAGCTTTAATCGGGTGCTAAGTCAGCCTGCAGGCCTGCGACTATTCTGCCAAAACAAGTTTCTTTTTCGTCCCGGTGGAGCCTGTAGTTAAAGTCAGATGGGGAGAAATAAAAACATGATATGTAGCTACACAAACGGACACATTCAAGCTTCATTATCCTGCCACAGACAGCGAGTAAGTGCAGAATGGAGGCTTAGCAGCTTAATGTGTCAATATCCTCCATTAGCCATAAAACAGATCGTCTCCCGGTGGTTATGAGAACAAAGACACGATGTTTCGTTCACCTGCCCTAACCTAACGCGTTACTTTGAAAGTGGAGACACGCAAGGTGACTTTTACGTGAGCTGACATTAATATTTACAGCCATTTTTAATGTGTTTGTGCTGTCGATACAGCTAGCTACAAACCAAAGCCTCCTCTCTAAACAAAAGCCTGAAGGACAGGCCAATCTATGTACCCGACGTCTTTGAAAGCGAGTTTTTAAGAACATTAAACCCCAAATCATACTCCCACAGGGGCCAAAATAGAGCACATACCCTCAGAAAATTAATCTGCGCAGACATTTTCTATCACTATTTGATCACAATAACACCTCCCTCCTCCCTTACCCAAGGAGTGATCCTCTTTGAACATCCATTTCATGTTTGCCGTTTCCGGGCTCTTTTAGCTCGATGTAACAGATTATAAACACGAGTTCAGGTTAATTCAGGTTGATATTACTTTCTTTCTGTGTCCTTTATACGTTAACCCTTGAATAAATGGATAAATGGCGCAACGGTTACGAACTCCTCGGCAAAACAACAAACAGCCTAGTCTTCGCGAATAGCCAGCGATGACGTCACTTCAGGCCGTACCATTCTGTCGCACAAAGTGGGGGGGAAGGGGGTGCAGCGTTCTCACTTTTGCGCTTAAATAATTAATCTTTAACGCTTAAAGGTGTATTTGTCAAATTAATGTTTTATTATTATATACTCTACATTTTTTACAGTGGATCTGTGCTTTTCACATGTCAACGTCTTAACACGGTTCCCTGTTAGTCATGTTTGGGCTTACCTACTGTTCCTCGCTCTCCGGAGAACATAAACATAACCATAATGTGTTGTACGACATAGACCTGCAGTCTGTGGTAGTACTCATGGACGGATGAGGCCCAGGGCCCCGAGGGGTCAGGAGGGCTCTTTGCCAGAGCCTCTGTAGGAAGAGCTCAGTTAAAAGACAAAACGATACAAAACAAACACAACGAGATGATGAACCACCACAAAGATACACAAAATGATCCCTAGGATACACAAAATGACCAAACACGGACGCATAATCACCACAAAGAGATGAAAAACCACCACAAAAAGACACAAAACAACCATAAAGAGATGCAGAACTACCATAAAGAGAAAGGTGGTCCCAAAGATACACAAAATTACCAAAAAGAGGCAACACAAAATAAGATATGAAAAATAAGATATGAAAAATTACCACAAAGAATATAATAAATAGGTGAATATTCTAATATGAAAATGTTATTTTACCTCCAAATATCCTACAGCTATGGACAGATTATGAGACAATGGAACCCAGGGCCCAAGGTTCCCATGTCAATTTGTAATTTGATAATTTGCCACTCATGTTCTTTGGGAATTTGCTCCAATAAAATACAATTTCAACAAAAGCAGGCCCTGCATTGTTATGTTATTTTGTGGCTGTAGAGGGGCTGTCTGTGAAAATCTAGTTTAAAAAGCTTTGATAATTTAATTGAACGTACACTCCCCTCCAAGTAGTTGGAACAATGAGGCCAATTCCTTTATTTTTGCTGTAGACTGAAAACATTTGGATTTGACATCAAAAGGTGAATATGAGACAAGAGATCAACATTTCAGCTTTTATTTCCAGGTATTTACATCTGGATCTGATGCACAACTTAGAAGATAGCACCTTTTGTTTGAAGACACCCATTTTTCATGTGAGCAAAAGTATTGGAACATGTGACTGACAGGTGTGTATTGCTGCCCAGGTGTGGCCTATTACATTGATTATTCAAACAATAAATAGCGCTGAATGTCTACGATCAGTTTCAGATTTGGGTTTTGCTTGTGCAGACTGCATTTATAGTTAGAGGTGCAACCAACATGAAAACCAGAGAGCTGTCTATGGGTAAAAAAAAAAAACAATTGTGAAGCTAATAGAAGATGGAAAATCAATCAGAGCCATTGCATAAACATTGGCCATAGCCAGTACAACCATTTGGAATGTCCTGAAGAAGAAAGAAACCACTGGTGTACTAAGTAACAGACGTTGAACGTAGAACCAAGGTCGAACCTGGTCGAATTAGACCAAGGAAAACAGCAGCAGTTGACGACAGAAACATTGTGAGAGCTGTAAAGAAAGACCCTAAAACAACTGTTAGTGACATCAGCAACAACCTCCAGAGGGCAGGAGTGAAGGTATCAGAATCTACTGTTCGCAGAAGACTTCATGAACAAAAGAACAGAGGCTAGACCAGAAGATGCAAACATCTCATTAGCAAAAAGAATAGGAAGGCCAGGCTGGAATTTGCCAAAAAGTACAGAGAATTAGAATTTACTCTTGTTGAAATGGGGCACCAGTCTTTTGGGAGGACAACAATGAATTATTTCATTGCCAAATTTATCAATCTCATATCGGAAGCCATGACTTCTCGATTCAATGGATCCCCGGTCTCTACATCAAAAGAATACAACAGGACCACAACTGGGTGTAAATACAGGAGTTTATTAACTAAACTACTGTCTACAGAGTAAATGCAAGGTGTAATAATCATAAAAATGAAAATAATAATGAAATGAGCAGTGTGATGAGTTGGCAATGGTAGGAGAGAATATGTTATGGCTATACACTATGGCTATACAGCTAATGATGCTACATCTACTAATTAGGTTTGATGTTTTGATGATTAAATATTGCTATATTTCGACATCAACCCAGTCATGAGCAGAGTGTTAAGACCGGTCCACTGTGAGTTGCGCTGTAGCTGAAGACCCTCAGCTGGAACCCAGGTGGCTGTGGTTGCCGTGGTAACCCTGGAGACGCGGGATCTAGGTGGATTCTCCTGGAGGCCGTGTCCCGTTATCACGATGACGGATTCTGCCGGTGTCTCAGCGGTTCAGCTCTGGTGGAGTTTGCCAGGAGACTTTCTGTCTCGGGCACTCTTGATTTCTGCTCGGCTTCTCTGCAGGTGGTCGTGCAGATGTGTTATCTGCTGGCGCCTCTTGCGGGTTGATGCGAAATAAACTCTAATGCTCTTCACTTTGGTTGGATAACTTTAGAGGAGACTGGCGTTGACCAGATGACTCTAAAGTAGTCAAAATCTTCAAAAAGGAAAACTTGATGATGATTTAAAAGTTACGAAATTACTCTGAGGCACTTCTGTTGCTTTGGTTCAGTTGGTCTTGACTTGGCTTATAAAAATAAAAGATCGCGCATGTAGACAAAAATGATGTTATTTGGAGCTTGTGGCAAAGAAAAATAAAGGACGCGAAAAGTGTAAAAATGACTAAGAGCCATGAGTTTGTGGCGAGCAGCTTAGAGCTAAGAGTTCACATGGCTACAGAGCCGGGCTTTGAGCCTTTCTAACTTCTCTAACTCATCTCTGCGCCTTTTTCCTTCTCCTAACGGGGTCAGCCCTATGTTCCCACATTTCTAAGAATGTTTTGAAAATTAGGCCCTATTTTCCCACAGTCTTATATGTTCCCATAAGCCCATGTCCACACTAACCCGGGTAATATTTATCCGGTTAGCCCTGAAGTTACGGTGAATTCCGTAACTGAAAACGATGCTTTACAAAAACGATCGCTGAGGTGGATAAATGTGAAGACGCCGTGGAACGTGGATGCAAAGCGTTCTGAAAGGGTATAAAAGGGGAACATAGGGCTGTGGGAACATAGACACGCTCCCCTTCTAACTAGATGTGAATTGTTCACGACTGTTTTATCCCCAGGGGCTGGCGCATGTTTCAGGGGCGCCACCCATCTTCTCCTGTGTTTCCACTTGCAGAAGAGAGTAATTTTCCACTGAACTTTGGAATAATTTAATTCTATAGTTTACTATAAACTTGCACATCCGTCTTCCACCATGACCACAAAACATTAAATGACATAACATATAAAACTACTTGCACTAATAATGGCAGAGAGGAGTAATAGGAGTGTTGATTTCATATTACATCCTTCAAACATGGAATTAATCATAATACAAGTGGTTAATTGATCAAACACCAATATAAACATTTCCCAAAGCTAATAGTCTATAAATGTGGATCACACAGCAGTTCTTTGACTGTAATAATAATAATATGGACATGCTGGATGTCATGTAGTGTGTGTTACCTTGTGTGAAGGATGCTGACAGTGCGGCCACATGAAGGACATTGTCTTAAAATCTACGTTACATTTCAAACATTCTATGGGACAGAAGTTTGGGATCAAACTATTGCACAGGAACATCTCATGAGTTACAGAACAGCTAGATATTTAATTTTACACGTCTGTGAAGAGAGTTCTGCTGGTCACTACCCAGGATTGGAATGTGGGTTGTAATTTATGACTATTATCTAGAGAGGGGAAGAGGAAGGGAGGTTGGTGTGTGTGTGTGTGTGTGTGTGTGTGTGTGTTCATGCATGACACAGAGAGGCCAGGATTCACACCTTAGTGTTAAGCAGTCCTTTTGTTGTTACTTGTCCTATATAAGAAACAGTCAAATATCATTAGACATAGAGTCTTATTGTTACAAACTGGAGATTTTGCCTATATTCTCCAGTTGCCTGGTGTCCATTGGTTGATCCTCTGGAGATGACCCTTTGACCTTTGGTCTGGTCCTGTGTCGTTCAGGCATGCTAAATGGTTTGTTTGTGAGAGAAGGGTCCTTTGTCTCCGTTTCCTATCAATTTGATAATTTGATGGTGGGAAGAGTCACAAAGGGTCAATTGTGGGTCCGTAACTCTGCTTGTCCTTACAATGAACTTCCTTAATGGTTTGTGACTAATGCCAGGTCCGGTATGTGTGAGCACATTAACTAAAACAATAAGACACTGGTTGCACTTGACTCAGTGGAAACTTGACGGAGTAGAAACAGAGGCACAGTAGGGAGGAGGCTCCAACAGCTAATGTTTGATCAGGGGCCATATTTCTTCCAGGGGTAGAAAAAGCAATTAGACACTTGGATAAAAGCGGTGTGTATATGCAAATGAAAAATATATTTTTCACTTAAATAAAAGGAGTTTTTTATTTACAGTAAATGGTTTTATTTCAGCTTCAGTGAACAAAGCATTTCTAAAATCAGATACTTTGGTATTAAAATGATCTTGTAACATAAACAGAGTTTAAAGAAACAATCATGAGTGACGAGGAGGTCCTAGTTCTTGCAGTCTGGTTTATTTTCATCACTGGGCTGAGCTCTGGTCTGGTTGTCGGGCGGCAGCAGCTTTCCCAGATGATGTCCCGTGGTGATACCGTAGGGCTGCGACTCTCGCTCCTCCCTCACTTTGGGCCAGAGCAAGAACCCCCCCTGGAAGCTGAGGTCAAACAGCTCACAGGGGGCAAAGGTCAAAGGCTTTTCTGCCAGCAGTCCCTTCAGTCGGCCTCGCCACCCTTCTAGCATTGCGGTTCGCACCATGGGGGGACAGTGAGCTGGACTCCAGAATATCTGAGGAGCAAGGACCTGAAATCCACAGAAGTGCAGAGTGCCGTTCTGACAGACAAACAAGAGAGAGGCAGGTTAAAAAACAGCAGCCAGCACAGAATATTTCAGGCTCTTCAGATTATTGTCATGGTGTTTTGGTTTTACGAGATAGTTGACAGTGGAGATGCGAACAGGAAGCGTGAGGAGAGAGAGGTATAACATGCAGCAAAGATCAACCAGAATCGACCCAGTGACCAAAAGCAGGCATGGAGGGTTTTCTCTTCAACAACTTCACACACCTCTGCAGCTCTCTGACATTTAAGAGACTTTTTAAGTCAAAAGATGTTTGATAAAAAGTCTTCAGTTTGTAAAGTGAAGGATTTTTACTTTTATCTTACTTTTAGAAAATTTGAAAAAATACCTGCAGAGGCCACAGTGTGATGTTGATGTCTCCGTTGATCCCATCAGGCTGGAACATAGTCTGTGTCGCTCCAGTCGTGAAGGACAACATTGCTTTCTTATCCTTCATGGACAAAAAACACAGCAATTATGCAGAGAGGAAGAGAGGAACCCCTGAGCAGGAGATTTTACAGTATAAACATAAACTATTTCATTGGTCTCTGGTTCATTAACTATGTGACATTAACAGTGACACTGTTTCTAAATGACCAGACAACATGATAACAAAATACCTGCGGTAGGCTGATGTCAGCTGATATTTATATATGGCATGGCTGATTTATGGGTGAAGCTCTCATATTTAGTTTACAGGACATTATGCCACAGGGGTTTTAGACGTTGAATGTTTTGATACTTTTTTATTATGAATTATTTATGTTATGTTATGTTATGTTATGTGATTGGCTCCACCCCCTCCGGCAGTATGGATAATGCACAGATGGATGGTTAAATACATGTTGTCTACCCGGTACAGACCTTGAAAATACCATTATTATACATCTTCTCCAGGGAGAAAGCGAAGCCTTGTGTCAGCACTCTGTCCATCCAGCCCTTCATGATGGCAGGCACGCTGAACCAGTACAAAGGAAACTGCGGGAACACACAGAGCAAAATTCATTTCTTTATTTTTCTCCTTGTTAACAAATATCCCTAACACTGATTCCTAAAAACAAGATGGCTGTTCTGTGATCCAGCATTGTAACTTGATCCAGCCACATCTGATCAACATGTTGAGTCAGCCTCACAGACCTGTTACATTAATTAACATTAATAATAGTTTCGCTCCCAGTGAGTCATGACAGTGAGCAAGAATGACACAAAGGGAAGGGAATTCAACCATCTTTTATTTCATTACACATGTGTTTTCTGCTGCGACCTAAAAATATCTCCTGTGAAAAAGACCTATGACATAGGTTTGTAGGCAGTTTGTTCCACATCACTAGCACAGACATTAGGCTATTTAAAATGACTGTACTCTGGTTATATAAAGGTGTAGTAATTTCCTAAAACAGCTGGATGCTATCAAAATCAATAAATACAGAGCACATGTATTTGGGACCATTTTCAGCCGTGGATTAATCCACACAAACACGGCTTAACAAGACAATAGACAGTAAACACTGATGCATTAACTTAAAACAATAAAAATGATCAATGAATGGACTTTGATGGCCGACACAATAACAACACACAGGACAAGCCAGAGGAGTGAGCGGTCTCTGACCTGGAAGATGATGAGCTCGGCCTCCTCTACTTTGCGCTGCTCGGCCATGATGTCGTCACTCAGGCGGCCTTCCATCCAGGCGTGCATGGTCTCCTCTCCGTACTGGAAAAGCTCTGAGTTCTTCAGATCACCTGGATACGATAAACCGCGTCAGAACTTAAAGAACACATTTGGTGACGTTCTATGGTTTTTCTTACTGTCAATAAATCCCCTGGGAACCAACACTGAACGTTTCCATCTGACAAGAATGAGTCAAGAGTGAGTCTCGATGATGCGCTGGGTGAAGTTTTCCTTCATCACCATGAACACACACACTTTTGGCTCTGCACACTCACCATCCTGCTGCCCCATATACTCACTAGAGCACCAAATATGGATTAATCCGCCACTGAAAAATAGTCCCCAACAAAAGCACTATTTCCTCCCGTTTGTTTAAAGGTTTATGTCTTCAGCTTTGGAGCTGAGAGCCACAGGCAGAGGAGGAGAAGTCAGAAAGGGTTGAGAGACAGACAAACCGATGATGTCATCCTGTGTGGCGTTGGCTCTGAAGTTCATGGCGTACAGGTCGGACACGATGACCCTGTATCCCTGCTCCGTCAGCTCCTGAGACGCCACATCACGAACCGCTGCGTTGAACGAGCCGGGGCTCTGGTGGGCGTACACAATCAGAGCCGTCTTCTGAGCTGTTGCACGCACACACGCACGCACACACACACACACACACACACAAACACACACACAAACACACACATATTTTAATAGGGAATTACATTATGGAGGCCAGGGCTGTTAATATCTATACGATCATTGTGACCAAAAGAATTCACAATAACGAAAACTTTGTTTATTGTGCGTTTTGTTACTTTTTTGTCAAATGAATTAGACTCAAATACGAGTGTAGGGAGGTGGAAGGAGACTCTGAAACCATGACTGTACACAGCTATCATCTTATCATCATCATTAAATTTATATCATTATTATCATCTGTGGATTATTAACACAATATCAGTGTTTCATTTTTTAAAATATCACAGTAATCGTCAACATCAGTACCTCAGGACACCTGTAATAGGGCCGTAGTCAAGTCCCACAATGTGACTGTGAAAAGAGTTTTATGTCCCCACAAGATTTGGGTTTTAAAAGAGAACGCTTGTGTTTTTACCTGCAGATTGATCCATAATGGAAACAATCATCAGTTGCAGCCCCACATCAATAACTATAACAGTAAAATCCTGCTGTAATGTATAATAGTGACTAACATTCAGTCTGATTACTGTAACTTGTAACACTGAGCAGATTTTCACAACTGTACTTGCACAACTTTTGCCTGTAACAGAATATGTTTTACAGTGTGGTAATAGTTCTTTTACTCAAGTGAAGGACTGAAGACTTCTTCCACCCCTCTCAAAGGTTCGATCTTTTACCAACACAGCAGACTGTAAAAAAACAGGAACAACAGTGTGTTTGTGTTTGTGAAAGCTCCTCCTGATACAGAGCTGAATGAAAAGTGATGACATTCAAACAGCTGTGAAACATGTCTGACGAGACGACTCGCCTGGCGTCTGCGGGACTCTATTGTTTCAGGTCTGTTGCTCTGCAGCTGAGGAGGTTGTTGTGACGTGTATCATGATTCAAACTGAAGGTGCGGCCGCTGGAGTGTTTGTTTGTTAAAACTAGGGTTGTCTCTATGTGGGAGGAAGAGAAACTGTGATCTGCACGTTCCCCCAGTCAAAAGAAACAAAGGCGCAAATTCAGACGAAAAGTTCTTTTTAATATTGCTTTATATGTTTATGCTTTTTATGACCTCATTACCTTATATATTCCTCTGGATTGTTGTTTCAATATTTCTAATTATTTATATGTGTTTATTAATTATCCCACAAATAGTTATTTTTGGCTGGACCACAACAGCAAGACCAGACCTATAATCGCAAATGTCCGTCACTGATTGAGTGATCGTATTTCCACCATTGGTCAGCTGAATGCCATGTGACCGAGTTGGAGTTGTTCTCATTGGCCGTTGCTGTTTCAAAATTAACTGTATCTATTATGGGGTGTTTACAACCTGCAGTGTTGCCATCTTAGTATAAGGACCAGAGATGTCACAGGAAAAGTAATAAAGCATTTCCTTAATTTCATATTTTAATAGGCTTTAAAAACAGGAATTGTAAAAAGAATTTATAAATGATGATTACTCCATCAATAAATGCTTTTAAGAAATGTTTCTATGTCTACAACAGACTTTAATAGAATCTGATTATAAACAGATATTAGGACATTTTATTAATCTACACTATTTTTCAGCAATTATAACTTCAGTGAGACATATTTTATATTATTATAACTATGTTTTACTTACTTCAACTACAATATAGTGTGTTACAAACTAGTTATAAACAGTTTATAAATACTAAAAAGGCAAAGAGTTATAATCAGTAAAGTGGTACCAAAACAAGAGTTGATTTAAAAGATTTGTTTGTGCCACATGATATTAGTTATTAAGTCCTTTAAGTTATTCATTATCAATGATCAAACCAGGGGGATTGGCTCCTGACAGAGGTATGTTTGTTTTTCAGTCCTGAGAGTGCAGCAACATTTTTAAAAGTAAAGACATTTATTACTTAGAGGCACATAATCTAAATTTGTTTAGCAGCCATGTGTCAATGTTTGAAATGTGTCCAGACTTTGCATCCAGAGTTGAGTGATTTACAGATTTAAAGACAGATTTTTGGGACTTGAAAGTAAATCAGTGGAGACTCACCCATGCTGTGTGTCTGCTGGATCCGTCTGCACCTTGGACCTGGTTCCTGGCTGCTCTTATAAACCCTGTGGCTTTCTTTGCGTGAGAAACATGGTTAGATTACATATCAGATGGAGCAAATGTGTCTGAGAGACAAAACCACACACTGGAGATAGAAAAAAAAAAAGTCTGCTGTCAATCTGTAGGACCGGTTTAGTTCCTGGTATAGAAATGGAGGAGTGTGTGTGTGAGTCAGCTGGGCTGTGGAGTCACTGGTGCAGGTGAATCAGATTGGTTTCATTTGGCCTGGAAAAGAATGTTTGGGTCACTTTCAAGGGATTATCTGAGCAGGTCATGTGGCTTGACAAACGTTTTAATCCGATTTAATTTCATCTCGTCAAGAGGAAAGTGGAGTAAGATGTCAGTTTAGCACAGCCTGAGCTGTTCGCTCAAGTCCCCATGTTTTATGTCACCTTTCACCGCTTCTCCCCGCAAACAGGCTTTTCTGACTGACTGCATGTGGGTTTGAGCTGGTAGAGGTGAGAAAACTTTTCACACAGCTGAAAGGAAATACAACAATTATCATTTCATATAATAGTAAAATAATAATATAACAGTTTAATTAATTTAAAGACAAGAAAAGCTCTTTTTTTTTTACCTTGGAGAAAAAGATTTGTCAATACAGTCTAACAGTGATCTCCATTCAGTAGCTGTTCTGGAGCTTCTCATCACATCACATGATCTTCCTCGGCAGATGGAGTTTGGCGAGTTGTTGTGGAGTTGTAGATATTCACATTTACGTTTTTCAAAAAAAAAAAAACATTTTATTTTCAACTTGTAAGCTGACATGGCTGCTCAGAGAAATTTCAGCATCGTCAATGGGCTGAGGAAGATCATATGATGATCATCGAAAGCTCCAGAGCAGCTACTAAATGGACTTTTTGTGGTGAGATCGTTTTGCAAAGTTTATTTAATGTATTTATCACTTCTCTGCTTCTCTGAATTTATGACATGTATGTAACAGTTTGTCCAAAAACATGTAGTTATCATGTAACTGTGGTAATATTTGTCTTTTAATCATGGAGTGTGCATTAATAACATTTAGCACATCAATTTTAGCTTCATAGTTTTATATTACATATAACATATTCCTCAGTGCTCATTTATTTGTGTTTTTCCTACTAGGATGTATCAATGTTATGTTCAAATATCAGCTCACTGGATCTGTTTCACTTTAAATGTGTCTCATTCAGACCAACTTATTTTAAGCAAATGACAAGAGAGAGGAAAACATGGCTTGCTAATAACATTGTGGAGCGAGAAACGAGGAGAAGAAGCCGCAGCAGAGCAGCTCTGCTCCAGGCCTGCACTGCTGAGGCTTCACGCTACTGTCAGCTTGTGTATTCTTAATTTCATTGCCAAATTTCCACAGTGGAAAAAAATGTCCCTGGAACAGTTCAATCTTGTAGGGGGAAAACGTTTTGTGCTGGAGTGAGCAGTGGTTTGTTCAGTCAGACATGTTTTCTTAGTTTTAAAAAAAAGTCTTAGGTCTGAATTATACAACTGAACAACTGTTTCGTTGGAAACCATAGCGGAAGGTGGAGTGAGACGCCTGCCTTGATGGGGGTATAGGGATAGGATGGGTGATATTGATTAGATATGGAGATGACGCTGCACATTTTCAGACATGCTCTCCTGCTCTTCTCTCCTATGCAACATGGCAGGAATGCTACATGGTCACTTCTGTCACCTGCTGATCACCTGCTTTAGCCTCTTGAGGCTAAACAACCATCAGACAACCAGGTCTGACAGAGAATACAAGGTCCTTCAGTTACCAAGAGCTCATAGCCCCAGAGCTCCTCTTTACTCTGTCACACTGATCCTATGTCTTCATCTTTTTGTCATGTTTTCTGTTTCAGGGTTACGTTTACGTTAACGTACGGTTAAGTTACGTTAGGTTCCTCCTCACTGCTGCTTTGTGCGCTCGGTCGCTCTGAGGCAGAGTTATCCTGCGGCGGATCAGACGCGCCCTCAGCACACTGCGTGTCAGGCTCGTACGTAACATGGCAGGAATGTTACACGGACACTTCTGTCACCTGCTGATCACCTGGTGTAGCCTGCTGTGCAACAGCAGACACGTCAAAGTATGTCAACTTTATTTTGTTTTGTTTTTTTGTGGAATTATCTTTTTATTTGGATTTACCTGGACACGTACAAATGTTGTCATAAAATTAATTTTTATCCAGAGACCCAAAGATTCAATAGTGGGCAAGACCAGGCTCTTAACCTTAATCCTAATCCAATTAAATTATTTACCATCAAAAAGTTATAAAATGCCATGTAATAAGACTTTTTTTTTCAGAAGTATGTTTATTCTTTTTTTTATTTTTTTTATACAAAAAACATCAACAAAGAGTGTCACGACTGAGCAAGGACGTGGACCCAAATGCACGACTCAAGACCCGCAAAGCACAAAATAAACAATCTTTTATTGACAAAGTAGCAACTCAAAATCACTCTCAAAGGAAGCAAAAACTACTCGGCAAAGTACAAACAAAAATCCCTCTTGATAGAGGAAAACAATTGTTATCTGAAACGAGAGGGAAGTAAGATTTCAAAATAAAACAGGAAGTCACAAGACAGCATAAAGACAGGACAACACAAAAGTAACTTAATATAATTTCTTGGACATGACAAAGAGCTCAGCACAACATTGGTCTACACGATCATCAGCATTAATAATAATGACAGAAGTGAAGAAAAAAAAGTAATAAGACTCTTGAACAGGAGTAACTGAAATCCTAATGAAGTTATTTCCAACAAAACTCTCCTCATAAAGTTGAACATAAAACTTTCATTTGAACTCATGTTCATGCTCTTCTAAGGGAACTTTATTTCTACAGCACATTTCAGGATAATTCAAGGTTCAAGTGCAAAACAAACTCCACACTCCTCGATGTCCAGACACCACAGATATAGAAGCTCCAGCACATACTCAGACAGTACAAATGTCTCATGACGACCGGTGCTATACTATTCCCAAAAGATGCACCGTTTGGAGACTTGGAGGTTTTTACCAGAGAGAAAAAACAATGAAATTTAGATGAAATTTGCTACAGACATTCGTTGTCCCCAGAGGATGACCTGTACTGATGTAGGTACTCCTCTGATTTTTAATATATTTCTACCAACAGGTTGGTGTTTTGGGGGCTTTTAGTGAAATGTCTTAAATACTTTTGGATGAACTGTCATGATATTTGGTTCATGGTTCCCAGAGGATGAATCCTAACAACTTTGGTGATCTTTTGACTTTTCATCCAGCACCTTCATGAGGTTAGTGTTTTATTTGTCCAGCATTTTGGTTTATGATCAAATACTTATGATAAAAAACTAATTTTATTCCCAACAGGTTTAGTGCTAATTAGCAGATTAGCATTTAACACCAAACATCTCAGATTAGCATGTTCTGTAGCATGCTAACACGCTAAACTAAGATGGTAAACTGCTAGCTTGGCATAACTAGTCTTGTTGATTTGTCAAAGGGCTTTTGATTGTTTCCTGTTGTCACCAGCACATGGGTAAAAACATGTGTGCTCGGGACTTTGACTCCTTATGTGCAGAAAAAAAAACAGTTTTGGCTGAATGTGTGGGTCCTTTCAGTTTCCGCTTCATGAGCCTTGGTCGTGACAGTTTTGTTTTTCAGTGTGCCTCGCACGCCCAGCTGCTAATCCAGACGTGCAGCGGCCCGAGAGACACGCTGGACAGATTAAGACAAATTTATCCCCGACTACTCAGCAGAAAGTCTGATCCTGTCGTGTTACTGGATCTCATTATTTCCCTCTAATATCATTAGCTTTTATTCAAAGTGAAAACTGCGCCGGCCACAGTCACAGTCACAGTGTGTTTCTCAGAATCTCCCTCACCTGTAGGTCACAGTAAAAAAAATCTGCTGTGGCCAAAATGTCCGCTTGGCTGCACCTAACTCATAAGTGCTTTTCTTTGCTCTGTGTGAAATCATGCAAATAATTTTTAATCTAGACAAAAACTATTTCTCATGATGTTTCAGCTTTTATAAACTCACTGCAAAATTGATCTGATGAAGGCCTCAGTTCTAGTTTCATTTTCTCTACTAATGCACTAATTACAGGTCATTAAAGAGAAGTTCAGAAGTTGTTTTCAGACATTGGCACCTTTGAAAACGTACTAATGCCTGGTCACATTTTGCGGCAAAATATTGTCAATCCAATACAGTTGCTACAATTTGTGGTTCTGTGATATGTTCAGATATCCAAGAACATCTTTACTATGTTGTTGTGAACTAGTGTATGAAAAGAAATCTGTGTATCTACGTGTATCTAATGCAGTCATTGCTTGACAGCACCACCTGCTGGCCCAGAAGTAAAAGGAGGGACTCAGTAAATAATACACACACACACACACACTCTCTCTCTCTCTCTCTCTCTCTCTCTCTCTCTCTCTCTCTCTCTCTCTCTCTCTCTCTCTCTCTCTCTCTCTCTCTCTCTCTCTCTCTCTCTCTCTCTCTCTCTCTCTCTCTCTCTCTCTCTCTCTCTCTCTCTCTCTCTCTCTCTCTCTCTCTCTCTCTCTCTCTCTCTCTCTCTCTCTCTCTCTCTCTCTCTCTCTCTCTCTCTCTCTCTCTCTCTCTCTCTCTCTCTCTCTCTCTCTCTCTCTCTCTCTCTCTCTCTCTCTCTCTCTCTCTCTCTCTCTCTCTCTCTCTCTCTCTCTCTCTCTCTCTCTCTCTCTCTCTCTCTCTCTCTCTCTCTCTCTCTCTCTCTCTCTCTCTCTCTCTCTCTCTCTCTCTCTCTCTCTCTCTCTCTCTCTCTCTCTCTCTCTCTCTCTCTCTCACACACACACACACACACATTCCTATTACATCTCACTTTGGCAGATGCAATCCAGATTCCAAAAAAGTGTGTCACCGTGTGATTCACAAAAATGTCACTTTCATTTCATCAGTGTAGGCTAATAAAAGGTCAGATATGACTGTGTTAAAGAAGTAACACAGTCACAGTAAGATGCAATCCCTGCTTTTTTTCCCTGGAAAAATCTGGTAAGAAAAGACCTTTAGTGAAGATGTTTTTTTGTTTTTTTTTGTTACACTGGTTTTATTGTGTGTCAGACTAGAGCTCATTCTTCTTTGCTGCGCATTAAAAGTAAAATTTAAAGGAACACTGCACAGAAAATCTGCCC